GTGCCTCGCCAGCATATACCGTTAGCACAGACAGGACTACCATTCCATTATCATACATTAAAAAAAGTAAGTGCATGCTTCTCCCCTTTTACTTTTCCGTAATTCTCCTAGAATCTACAACTTCATTATCATGTCTAAATTTCTATATAAGTTCAGAAAAATCATGTCCTGGAGTAAATCGAACGAAGAACGGTTCCATTTATTTAAAGAACCCATGTATCTTATTGTGAAAGCTATAATGAACTAGTTTGAAAACAATTGACTATGTGGTCTCTGGAATCATAAAGCATAAGCAATATCATCGGGACATTGTGATCCCAGTGATGATTGTATCATCAGTGTGTCCATAAGAATATATTGGTATATAGACGACAGTTATTACTTTCAATCTAGAGATCGGTCAGTTTGTTTGCCACTCCAAGTTACTATTTATTTAAACTTTAATGAAAATTAAATTCTATGTACAATACATTTGGCGGACTTAACACCGGACGGTGTTCTCTACCAGTCATCCATTGGGCCAGGTCAGAGAAGTAGGTAGACGGTACATTCATGAATCAAAGGATCCTATCTTATTATATAAAAATCCTTTATTTTAAGGTACAAACTGCTTGGGAACAATGACTGACCGCTTCGAGGTAATTTTATACACGGACACACTGGCTCGCTACCGCGTCGCCTTTATACTCCGCCAGCCTCCTCTCTCTTACGTCTCCAATATATTCTCCCTGCCGTTCTCTACCAGCGTCTGGATAGCCATTGCCTTGTGTTCGTGCCTGTCTATGTTTGCTCTGTACTTCACCAGCAAATGGGAGGTCAGGAAAGGAAAGGTATGATGCCATTCAATAAACATATTGTAACAGTTAATTTTGAAGTGTCGCATTATTGACGCATATTTTAAATACGCTATCGGAACTGAAAGTGGTCACGACACGACGTGGTCCAAACCACGTCGAAACGTCAGCAATAAAGAAGCAGGTATGTAGGTTCTATTTACCTGTAATTTTCATCGCGTTAAGTCCCGATAGTGTATTTAAAACATATTGTAGCTATCTAATTTATTACCTACTGACGACATAGTCTGATCAGCCTCCTCTAGATAAAGGGCTAACGATCTTCGATCTTTAAAAATAAATTGACTGTAATCCACATCGTAAGCATCTATATCGATTCGATATATCGAACGAACATTCGAGAATGTTTGACGTTGATTTATATACATACAAAATAGCGAGCTATTCTTTGTATGAAATAGAACAAAACAGCAAAGCCCGGGGTCTCATATTTTCTCTCATACGCACGATAAATAAAAAGTATCTATCCATAGATGATATTCATTTTCTTTTTGTACCCAATTGTCATTCAATGCTTATTTTCACAGAAGATATTATTAACAATTTAGCCTTCAAAATGTCTAACAAAGAAGCTGTTGCTAAAATAAATAAATGTATCAAACTAAATCTCAGTTGTTACTTAAATTATTTGCTTTTAAGATTCATATGTAAGTAATGATGATACGTAAAAAAATCTCTAGGGAACAGGATCGATATTATTGAACATTTTATACTGACTGGAAAAAAACCTATTTCATTCGAGATTTTTCCAGACCGAGACACAGCTGGACGGTACTATGGGAGACGCGTTCTTGCTCACTATGAGCGCTATAAGCCAACAGGGCTGCGTCATCGAACCCAGACGACTTTCAGGTATCCAAATTGAAATTCCAGGAACACTTTATTTTGCTGACTTCATAAATTTTATGAAATATCTCACTATGTATATGTTAAAGACGGACTATAAGGAATTTTATAAAATATGTACAGATGGATCAAAAGATTCTCTAGGAGTAGGGACGGCACTATTTGATTCGAAGTTTGGAATAACTATGTTGTGGAAACTTAATAAAAATATCTGTATAATGAGAGCTGAATTGATAGCAATTACTAAAGCATTGGCATATGCTGTCACCTTAAACATACAAAAAAATGTTATATTGACCGATTTAAAGAATGCCCTCCATCACTTGGCTCAGTGTGTCTCGAGTACACGAGGTACGCCGATAGCCTATGAGATCTTAAAGCTTCTTACAACAAAGAAATGTAGTCGTAAAACTTCAATAGATACCGTCACATATAGGAGTGCCAGGGAATGAAACATCTATATATGATGAACTCACGTATGTGTGCCTCGGCTACGCCTCGGCCCACATTTGCACGTTCGTCCATCAATGCCTCAGTTGCTGGCCGCTGCAGTAATGTGCTATTATTTCACAGGTCGTATCATCGTATGGATATTCTTCGCGGTCCTAATGGCATTGTACGCGGCATACTCAGCTAACATCGTGGTCCTGCTACAAGCACCCTCCAACTCTATAAAGAACCTGGCGCAGCTGGTTTCATCGAAACTCACCCTTGCTGCTTACGATGTGGATTACAGTCAATTTATTTTTAAAGTTAGTTGACAAATATGCTTGTTGTTGTATGTTACAAAGTGCTGGGCTGACATGACTGTCTCAATTTGAAGGCAATATCATGCCAAGGTTACAAGCGAAGTCGATCGTTATCAGTGTATTTTTATTTATTTATTCATTACTACATATATATGTACAAAGCAGACTTAATACTAAAAGCATTCTCTCCCAGTCAACATTAGGGATGTGTCATATTATTTGAAAACGGTACTAGTAATAATTGATATACATACATACTAAAATTTACATGTATAAACAAATAAATATGTACAAGTAATAAATATACTTACACATATATACGATATATAAGATGAGAATAATATATAGTACTCTACACATAGGTACCAGAGGGAGACTTTGTACAAAAGTCGATTGCTTGGGTACCTCTGTCCCATTCGTGTTTCAACCGTGAAGCAGCTGTATTTGCATGGCTGTGTTTCGGTTTGAAGGGTGGGGTATGGCGTGAATTTACTGGGTACAGAGAAATAACACCTGAGTCCTCAGGAATGGCAACGCATGGGGGGTATCATGGGCGAAACAGTATACTCTGTTATGTCCATGGTACTGCTCATGTCTATAGGTGACAGTTACCACTTTCTATCAGGTGGGCCGTCAGCTTGTTTGCCATTCTAAGTTGCATAAAAAAAATCAGCTTGAATAAAGTAAAAAAGTGAGCATAAACATTTCTTTTTAAATGACGGTTTACACGGAAGTCTCTTGATGGTATCAGGGAGGGCGTTCCAGAGCTATGAAGAATGTAAGACAAAAGAATTTGTTTCGATACCAGTACAGTGAGAGAGGATAGAGTTTTTTTTTTAATTGGTGATAATGGTATGGTACCGTCTGCGCTATCGGTATACACTGGCGGGGCACCAATGATAGATGACTGATGAAGGTGAAAGCAGATCAGTTAGCCCATCCTGACGAATTCAACTAGAATTAGCCACAATAGTTTCCAGGGGGGACCACATGGAGGTCGACGTGATACGGTATATTACTGGCAATGATTCATTTAGAACCCATTACTAACAATCCCTTTCCCGTCTGTTTAATTTATTAGGTGCTTCTTTGTTTTAGCTCTATAATGATTCTCTCCACATGGCGGTCTACAAGAAAATTAAACCGGAAAAATCAAATGGACTCTTGTATGAAATGAACGAAGGCGTCGAAAAAATTAGACAGGTACCAAAATAATACATATATACATACATACATATTTGTCACGCCTGTCTCCCATTAGGGTAGGCAGAAACAATGGAACGCCAAATGCTTCGATTCAAACAAACCTCTTTCGCTTCTTCCACATTCATCAATCTTTTCATCCACGCTCGCCGGTTACGGGTACTTTTAATTTGGCCCATCTTCAACACGTCGCCTATTTGGTCAACATACGTACCAAAATAACTTTTATATAAATAAAAAACCCATTAACATTAAAAATAATACCCCTCATACATTGCTATTCCTGAGAATCAGGAGTCTTCGAAAAGCAATCCGTGGAGTTCACTTTGATAGGATATTGCTAGCAAATGTGGACATAACATCCCCATCGCCATAAACAATGTAATACTTTTTGTAAAGATGATGTTGTAACCCCGCCTGCGCTGTCGCTATACATTGGCAGGGCACCAGTAAAGGGTGACAGGTGAAGATGAAGGCAGGTTAATTGACCTATAGTAACCAATTCAATAAAAATTAATGACCATCGTTGCCAGGGGGAACCGCGTGGAGGTCGACCTGATAGGGAGTACAGCTAGCAATGGGGCTGTTAAATCTCATTACTAACAATCCATTTCCCACCAACAATGGTAATACTATCATTACAAACAATACATTCAGTGGCGTAACTGTACTATTTGGGGGCAAAAAAAAATTTCTGAGCTCGCGGCCCTTTTGGGTCGGGGGCCCGTGGCATTTTGGCAGCCCTGCCACCCTATTGTTACGCCACTTAATACATTCCCACCTATTAATCCATTTTCCACCATATAGGGCCTGTTCGCGTTCCACTCGATCACGGAGCCGGTATACCGACGCATCGAGCAGACCTTCCTGGAAGGAGAGAAATGTGACTTAGTCGAGATAGACTATCTCAACGCATTCGATCCCTTCACGCCCGTGAAGAAAGACTCGCCTTATTTGGAGTTAATGAGAGTTGTGTTAGTTGCACTTTACATTGTGTTCATCACTAAAGTTGATGAGTGATGATGATGAAATGATGATTTATAATTATTTGTGTGATGTTTTTTATTGAACTAAATGTTATCTTCCGTAAGTCCATATCACTGGTTATTTGATAAGAATTATTTTGTTTAATTCCGCTACCATTAGTATGTATGTGACTGTCAACGCTCGAAGATTGACCACCACTATTAGTACCAGAAGCTCTACAACTTTCCATATTTGCCATCTATCTCCGACTACCGCTCGTCCACGCACATTTTGCGACACGTATTTCGTCATAGTCGTAAAATACTGACGGATCTGACAAAGATTACATATGTAGATCCGTCAGTATTCTACGACTATGACGATTTTTCCCTCTAAATATCTGAAGATGCCTCGTTTAAAGGTGAAACACGTGTCGTAAAACCGAGTGCGTGGACCGAATAGAGGTCGGAAATTGATGACTGATATAGAAGGTTGCGACTAAAATGTAGGATTTCTGGTATAATCTATATTTCTAATATAATCTTCGAATGTTGGTAGTCGCACGCATACTAATGGTCTTCTTTTTTTTTATACAACTTAGAATGGCAAACAAGCTGACGGCCCACCTGATGGAAAGTGATAACTGTCGCTTATAGACATGAGCAATACCATGGACATAACACAGTATACTATTTCGCCCATGATACCCCCCATGCGTTGCCATTCCTGAGGACTCAGGTGTTATTCCTCTGCACCCAATAAATTCACTGCCATGTCCCACCCTTCAAACTGAAACACATCCATGCAAACACAACTGCTTCACGGTTGAAACACGAATGGGACAGATGTACCCAAGCAATCGACTTTTGTACAAAGTCTCCCTCTGATTATTCTTCTTCTTTTCATTTAAGAGTTTCCTCTTGTCGGTGCAACTAATTCATGCATCTTCCTCCAGCCAGTTCTATCCCAGGCCATATCCTTGACTTCCCTACACGACATGACACCTAGTGTTTCTTTTATCTGTCCCATGTAGTTTTCCTCGGTCGTACTAATGGTAGCGGCATTAAATATTTCTAATCATCGCACCACAATTGATTTTTTTATTAAGATATTTTGAAAAGGCGTAAATTCTCAATTCTATAGAATTTGTAACACACCATTTTGTAATGAAGCCACTTCGATCTACACTTCTTCAGGGTCGGCAACGCGCGCGTAATACCTCTGGTATTGCAGGCGTTCATAGGCTACGGTAACCGCTTACCATCAGATGGGCCGTATGCTTATTTGCCACCTCGGTGGTATAAAAAAAAAGTCCAATCCTGATAATCTGATTCCATGTTAGATTCATAGAAATTTTATCAAGAGGTTAATTTTAATTTTTTTGATTTAATAAAGTATAAAGTACAGTATAAAGAACTGTTTTTTTTTTTCATATAAATACATAAATATGAATTTTTAATAGTTAAATTTTAAACATTTGTTCTATCAATTATTTGTTCCAACATTTTTTTTCTTTTTTTTTTTTGTAGAAGGAAACAAATGTTTTTCTAATAATATCAAAATGTAGGCAAAGTTCCAACAATTGGCAACGGCTGTTAACATAATAAATTTATTTGTCGATTAAGTACTTTTATTTATAATCATAGATTTAAACAGCTGGCGGAATCTGGGATCAGGACGGCGATACACAAGCGTATGTTCATCCCTAAGCCGCACTGCTCCACCAAAATGGCGGCGTTCAGCAGCGTGGGCATGATGGACCTGAAACCCGTCCTGCTTCTCATGGTGTACGGTGCCGTGCTCTCGCTAGCCATCCTAGTACTCGAGATGGTACACTATAGACTGTGAGTATTATAAATATTACTTTAACTTTGCCATAAAAAGACACCCTGTTTGTAATGTGAAAATAGAGTGGTACCTCTGTCCCCCTAATAATTCTACCGTGAAGCAGCTGTGCTTGCATGAGTTTTGCTTTCAAGTAATGAGTACCATGAGAATCACAGTTTTTTTTTATTTATATACAACTTAGAATGGCAAACAAGCTGCCGGTCCACCTGATGGAACGTGGTAACCGTCGCCTATAGACATGAGCAGCACCATGGACATAACAGAGTATACTGTTTCGCCCATGATACCCTCCATGCGCTGCCATTCCTGAGGACTCAGGTGTTATTCCTCTGTATCCAATAAATTCACGCCATATCCCACCCTTCAATTTGAAACAAAGCCATGCAAACACAACTGCTTCACGGTAGAAACACGAATGGGACAGAGGTACCCAAGCAATCGACTTTTGTACAAAGTCTCCCTCTGGTAAACAGTTAATTCAATGACGTCCACGATGCTGTTCTTGTTTATAGATGACGATCATCACTTCCCATCAAACGCACCGTTAACCTGTTTACCATTTTAGGTAAATGTCAAAAAACTCAACGGTTAAATAGTGTTTTTTTTTTATAATGGACTGGTAACCCCGCCTGCGCTATCGGTGTACACTGGCGGGGCACCAGTGAGGGATGATAAATGATAATGAAGCAGGACAGATGGCTCATCGTGACGAATTCAACAATAAATCAGTCAGGATGTTTTCCAAGAGGAGCCGCGTGGAAGTCAACCTGATAGGGTATATTGCTAGCAATAAGATTGCTAATCTCCATTACTAACAATCCCTTCTCCCGTCGGTTAAATAGTGTTGTCTGTATATCTTTTATGGTATATTCGTGGTAATTCAAAGTAAGGGAAAAGTAGGGAAATGGGATTGCTCAATATAGCAAAATTAATAGGCGGCACTATTGCCCGACGACTTTGTTTGGCATTGTCCATGATTCGACGCCTTATGGATACATTTTTCTTTTACAGGTACACAACACGTAAGCGAGAGAGAAAAACGAAAAAGTCGAAATACATATATTAAATATAAAGAAAATACCTAAATATAAAAGCATTAAGCTTGTTTTAGTTCGAGATTTTAAAGCTTCGATTTGAATTATAAAATAAACACTTTACCCAGAAAAAATATACAATTATTTATATAACTTCAAGTCTTGGAACTGCAAGCTACAAAAAAAAACATACAAACACGATTTGTGAGATGAAGCCTTAATCAGGCCCCATGTGCACTGGCATTAAAGCATATTTTTAAATATGGTGTGTTCTTAATTTTTACCTGTACAATGTATACCTAAGATTTGTTTCTTAAAAAATATTAAGGCAAAAAAGTGGTCGTATTATGCACTATGCTTGTTAATGAGCTCTCTGTCGTTTTATAAAATGTTTCCATTATCCCTATTTTAATTAATTTTTCCCCCTATTAAATTTTATTTTTTTACTACGCTACGCTACGCTACTAGAAGAATGTTATTTTTGTGTAAAAAAACGTAGAATGTTATTTTTCTTAAAAAAACGTAGAATGTTATTATTGTTATAAATAACCTAATAATTTACAATTATATTTTTATTTCAAAATCATCTCTTGTATAATGGAAACAGTGTCCATATCATACTACCCGCACTTCTTTTAATAATGATTTTTTCCAAAATGAATTGTTTAGTAAAAAATGCTTAGCTTCATACGAAAGATACAAATATTGATAATCAAATAAAGACTTTATGAATTAAAAAAAAAGACAAAGATCACTATAAAACTCCAATAAACTCTCACGATAAATCGTACTATGCTAGATTCAGGGTTAATCCGACAAATATATTTCTTTGGGCGGTTAATAATTCAAAAATAATTAGTTATTACGAAAATAAAAAAAGAAATACACTTTAAAAGCATTTATTAGAACCATGTACTTAAATCTAGTACATAAATAATTAGATGCATTTCTTGGAATTATGAAAAAAAAAATACAACTTGTAAAGGTTTACCCTTTATTCATAAAAACTAAAACCTCCTACAAACCTATTTTAACTATTACACTCTTTTATCTCTTTCATACAAACTGAGAATTTAGTGTAAAAGACAGAGACGAAACTACTCAATAGCTAAAATATGTTTGACATTTTTATGAATAAGGGCATTACATTCCACCGAATACTATGCAACCCTGTATGTGACATGTGTTACCATGTACACAAGCAAATACAACGTCTTATGAATTAAATTAGTATCAACTAATGTGCTATAAAAAAAAATTAAGCTATTTTTTTTTTAATTTTATTTAAGTAGGTTTATTTTAAAATTAGAACATAGATCGGGACTACTGATATTGTATGCCCCAATTTTGCTATTTACAAATGTTTCAATAGACAGTACAGTGGAGATGTAGTCAATAATGTAGACAGAGTAGACGTAAACTAAAATGTATAAAACTAGCTACAATTTTACTAACTCTAAAATGTTAGAGTACATTTATTTACTTATTTATCACTCTATTGGAACATTTACAAATGCAAAACAGTGGAATATTGTGATTCAAACTGAATACCAAATAATGTCTGCATTGTAGCTATGTGTCTACAATCGACAAATTATATGAAACAGTTATTATGACCTAAAAACAGACAGTCGAATTCAATGTGACGTTTATATTTATACCTTATATTAAAAATCACTGCACTGACAAAACACACATCAGATTTTTTAAATCTACATATATATATATATATATATATATATATATATATATATATATATATATATATATATATATATAAATCTCGTGTCACCGTGTTTGTAGCACACCTCTGAAACAGCTCAGCTGATTTCTATTACGTTTTTTATGTATATGTTTATGCAATAAAAATGTGTGTTTTGCCATATAAATAAATAGGAATACTAAATACAATTGATTCTAGGCTATTTGAGTAGCTGACTGTCGTCCGAGAGGGTCTTGTCCCGTACGAGTGCGTTCAGATGCTGTATCAGCCCCTCGACCGACATCTCGCCGTGCACTTTGTTGTCGCGCGTGCGCACGTTCACTGTACCGGAGCTCTTCTCCCTTTCGCCCACGACTGGAATTAAAAATTTCATCAGTTTTGTTTTAGTTTAAGACTTTAACGTGTGGTGATAGAGTGAAACTAATATGGAAAAATCAGTAACAATAATTTTTAGCCAGATTGTTAGCAATATGAGGTATTTAGCGCTAATAACATCAATGAGAGAACCAGAGAAGTCGATTGCTTGGGTACCTCTGTCCCATTCGTGTTTGCATGGTTGTGTTTCGGTTTGAAAGGTGGGATATGGTTATGAAATTACTGCGACCTAACACCTTAGTCCTCAATTATGGCAACGCATGGAGGGTATCATGGGCGAAACAGTATACTCTGTTATGTCCATGGTACTGCTCATCTCTATAGGTGACGGTTACCACTTTCCTTCAAGTGGGCCGTCAGCTTGTTTGCCATATATAAAAAAAAAAAACTTTTTGAAGAACCCCATAACAATATGGGATAGACTACAAAGTCTCTAGAGAAAACTTCGACAGGAAGCTCATTTCGCTGAGCTTGAGCATTCGCGGAAGGAATATCCTCTGAAACAGTACTGTACGCGACAATTTAGGTTCAAGCGTGAAGATGAATTCTGTCGCTGGCGAGCGGTACGATGATAAAAGGTGACTGCGGCCAGGAAGCGGAATTTATATTAAATAATCTAGTATATTAGTTGCGAAGTTATATGCACTTTGTTTCATCTATGTTTTCTCTTGTGATATCCTGTGATTCGCTATATTAACCGACTTCAAAAAAGGAGGTTATTATCATTGTTTATTATAGTGAAATTGTATAGCTTTCGGTTTTTCTAAAATAAATAAAATGTATATGAACCCAAAATAAGTCGAATGTGGCGTTTGCTTTAATCGTCCTGCGTTAAGGCCAACTTACCAGGGGGGAAGGGATTTTGGATCGTGAATCCAATCTCCTTACTAACAATCCTTTCCCTTAGAACAATCCTCCGATTGTTAGTAGTCCCCATTGCTATCAATGTAGGGTACATTGATAGCATCAGATCCACCTCCACGCGGTTCCCCCTGGAAACTACCGTGACTAATTTATCGTTGTATTTGTCACGATGGGCTAACTGACCTGCCTTTTCATCCTCAGCTATCACCTCTCACTGGTACTCCACTTGTGTATACCGATAGCGCAGGCGGGGTTACCATGTCATTTTCAACCATTAACAAAAAAAAGGCCAACTTACCGAGTATATAGTTGAACTGAGCGAGCTGCGCATTCCTCACTTTCTTGTTGAGTGTGTCGCCGGCGTCCGTGTCCACTTCCGACATGAAGCCGGCCTCGTACAGCTGTTTGTTCACCTGATTGTGTCCAATATATTATATATTATACATTTTTAAACTCTATATTCATATTACAATATGTTACGACCATTTATACTTAATCTTAAATATAATAATCAGATATAGAAATTTTTTTTTTATACAACTTAGAATGGCAAACAAGCTGACAGCCCACCGATGGAAAGTGGTAACCGTCGCCTATAGACATATAGTGCCATGGACATAACAGAGTATACTGTTTCGCCCATGATACCTCCCATGCGTTGCCATTCCTGAGGACTTAGGTGTTATTCCTCTGTACCCAGTAAATTCACGCCAATGGTATTTAATAAATTAAATAAATAAATTTATTCACTGTCAAATTGCCAGACTAGTTTCTAAGCTAGTTAATTTTAAACTTTCGCATTATTTACACATACGAGGTCTGTCCGGAAAGTTCGTATAAAAGTGTTCTGGAATGCGAGAAAGAGGAGTGGGGAGGCCAGGTAAGCGCAGGACCCCTTCCTTATGTCCCTAACAATGCTTCAGTTCTGGTCTGACCGCCGTGCGGTGCGAACTGGCTTGTCACGCCATCTGTGAAGTTACCTCTTAACGAAACCCCGTCGGCATGGAGCCCGCTTCCGTTGAAGAGCAGCGCGTCGTAATCAAGTTTCTCTCGAAACTCGGCAAGAATGGCCGTGAAATTTTTGCCGATCTCAGAACAGTTTATGGGGATGATGCTGTGAAGGAACCAACCGTCCACAAGTGGCTAAAAAGATTCAGAGAGGGCCGAGAAAGCGTTCAAGATGACCCACGTTCAGGACGTCCTTCCACTTCACATTCCGACGAAAACGTGGAAAGAATTCGAACTTGTGTTAATGGGGACCGTCGTTTAACGGTCAGACAGGTGGCTGAAGAGCTTAATTTGGGCAAAACCGTGGTCCACGAAATTCTAAGAAACGAACTTCAAATGAAAAAAATTTGCGCCAAGATCGTTCCGTGAGTTTTTGAGTAAAAATTCCATTACGGTGACCGAACACCCCCTATTCGCCGGATTTGGCCCCGTGTGACTTCTTCTTGTTCCCAAAAACCAAATTGGTACTTCGGGGGCGGCATTTGGGGGACATAAATGAGATAAAAAAAGCTACGACGGGGCAGCTGAGAAACCTACAACCAGAGGACTTTCAAGGAGCCTTCTCACAGTGGAAACGGCGTTGGCACAAGTGCATTATGTCACAGGGGGAGTACTTTGAAGGGGATAAAATTGATTTACCTGAATAATTGTAAAATAAAATTTTTAAAAAACTTTTATACGTACTTTCCGGACAAACCTCGTATTTTAAATACACAACCGGTACTTAACGCAATGAAAAAGCCCTTACAGGTTAATAGTACCTACATACTTGCTTCTTTATTGCCGACGTTTCTGCGTTGAGTTCCGTTCGTGTATTAAAAATATAGTTCCTTAACTACCTTGAAACTAGATATAAATATAGCTATATGAAGTAATATACGTGAATAATACAAAAGATAGATATATGCATGCTCTAAGTAAGAATGTATTTTTTTTTTTTTAGTGTCTAAAAATAAATATTGTTACTCATGCTATAACTATAAATGTGAAAGTGTTTGTTTGTGTACTACCTCTTTATTAATTCAACCAATCATGAAATTTGACATATGTTGGATGGGGAAGGACATAGGCTATTTTTTATGTCGAATCGGATGTGTTCTTTACACATCCACCTCACGTGGATGAGGTCGTGAGTATAAACTAACATCTTTATTCAGTTAATGATATTTAATATTTTAATTCCATTTTAATGTTTCTTAAACACAAAAAATGCTGTGGTTGTTTCTAAATGTTAGAACAGTTACATCTAATCCACGAATGTATTGTATTGAAATGCTTCGCAATTTTATGTTGGCGACATATTTCATATTTTTTAATAGAAACATCTATGTTTTCGTCTATTATTGTACGCATACTGCCCGCTAGTAATTAATGCTCCTTTCCACTCAGGGTTTGCTGGAAGAGAACTCTTACAGAGTTAAGCTCGCCTGTTGTACATCTTTATTTTGTATATATTATATGTTATAATTTTTTGTGTACAATAACGAATAAATAAGAAACAATTGGTAATTAATTCCTAATAAATTCATCACGCTATGCTAACTGACGTGATTACACCCTCACCTATAATCCCTCACTGGTGACCCGCCAGCGTATACCTACGAGGCAGATGGGGTAACCATTCCATTTTTATATTAAAAATCTCACCTGTACGGCGTAGTCGTCGAACGCAGGCCCGACAGGCACGACGCAGACTTGGCGCGGACTGAGCCAGAAGGGCCACTTGCCCGCGTACGACTCGCTCAGTATCGCGATCATGCGCTCCACCGAGCCCAGGATGGCGCGGTGGATGATCACCGGCCGCTTCTTCTCGCCGCTCTCGCTGGAAAATTCAAAATATAATAATTACACGCGGCTCTGCCTGATGTTAATTAACCATGGCAAACAACACTACTACTCATGGAAGTGGGGAATTATTGATTATGGGATCTAATATCCTCATTGCTAGCAATTTACTCTGTAGGTCGACATCCATGCGGTTCCCCCTCGAAACCATTGTGTTTAATTCGAAGTGAATTCGTTACGATATGTGAATAAATCCCTTACAGATACCCCGACAGCGTATACTGATAGCGCAAGATTTACCAACCCATTACCATCTATTTAAAAAGGCTTTATTGCTAGCAATTTGCCTCCATACACCTCCTCCCTAGAAATCATCATGGTTTAATCTTGTTGAATCTGTCACGATGATACAGGTATAACCCTTTCAGACCCAAGATTTTTTTTCTTTCAGATTAAATATATTTTCGTGTTTTGGAGCCGAGCCATCTTGCCGGCACGCACGAGACTACTGCACCACTTAACCGCTAAAATGATTTCTTATTGGCTGGTTTAGAATCTCACTATCATGTTATGTAAAAATGAATTGCGCGCGGTTTTAGAATTTTTTAAAGTTACAACTCACGCCTGTATCGTTCAGGTCTGAAAGGGCTATTGATAGCACAAAAAGAACATTTTCACACCATTAAAATCTTTCACACAAAAAACTGCATGGTTTGACAGTTAAGGATAAATATTCTTCTCGAAAATAGTCGATTTTTAAAACTATTCGAATCGAAATCTGATAAATCAATAGAGAAAAAAAATCGAAGTTTAAAATCGTCGTTATTATATCAACCATTAACTGTCAAAATAAACATAGGTGAACCCTATTGGAGAGGGGAGGGGGGTTGCCAGTTATCGCCACACTTGGCAGGAGTGTTAGCGACCACAGTTAAAATCTGGTGATATTTTTAGAGAGACACTGCTGCCTATCCGTCAACCACTAAATGTCCTTAGTCACCTTCCACACCCATGGGAAAGAAAGGAGATGTAAAAGATCTATTCTTTCCAATTTTGTTTTTAATATAAATTCAAATCTAATTATGATTAAAAAGGGTCACCATAATAATCGATACTTTATCGTTTTTATTAAAGTTGAACACAGAAAAAATCGAATTCCGATTTTGTAGTATAAAATTCAATTCAATGGATTAATTCATAGCTATTCTATATATTGACTAAAAAAATCGATTATTTTGGTCGATGAATCGCCATGCAATTTGGGAGTGCTGACACTGACCTGACATAGGTGAGGTTGAACCTCTCCGGCAGCTGGAAGTCCAGCTGTATGGTGGCGCACTGATGCGAGCGGCGCAGCGCGTCCTGTATGGTGATATCTATTTTGGGGCCGTAAAACGCTCCGTCCTCGGGGTTCAGCTGCCACGGCTTGCCAAACTTGTTCAGCGAGTCTGCCAGCGCCTGCCAGTTACCAGAGGGAGACTTTGTACAATAGTCGATTGCTTGGGTACCTCTGCCCCATTCGTGTTTCAACCGTGAAGCAGTTGTGTTTGCTTGACTGTGTTTCGGTTTGAAGGGTGGGATATGGTGTGAATTTACTGGGTACGGAAGAATAACACCTGAGTCCTCAGGAATGGCAACGCATGGGTGGGTACCATGGGCGAAACAATATACTCCACAATATGTTATGTCCATGGTACTGCTCATGTCTATAGGCGACAGTTACCAGTTTCCACCAGGTGGGCCGTCAGCTTGTTTGCCATTCTAAGTTGTATAAAAAAAAAGTAATACAAACAAATTCTTCTTCCAGTGCATAATTTACGCCGCTTTTATGCTTTACTCATGTAAGAAGAGTTAAATAATCGATCAATTAACAATAAATCATAAATTATCTTCATGCCTTAGAATATATCTATAAAGTGTCTCCATACAATTGATTCATTAAAAACAAGTCGTCTTTTTTTATCCATGCTGCGTAAATATAATTTTATCACTCATTATCTGTCCACTGCTGAACATATGCCCACATAGACTGCCATAAGGAACGGAGGATCGCTTTACACTGCGTTTGCGTCGCCACCCCAAAACATTTCTTCCCCATTGGTTGTCGGTACTTTGAGTTGTGACCAGCCCATTGCCACTTCAAATTAATGAAATGAATTTATTTTGCTAGAATGTAGGTTAGTTATCTTTGGTTCTTTTGCGGATATCCTCATATATGATTCTGTCACGCAAAGGAACTCCAAGCATAGCTCTCTCTAAAGATCGTTGAACAATTTGATTCTCAAACAATGCGCGGAAATCAAAAACACAATTTTACTTTTTAAGTTCACTGACGAATAACGAACAATAATAATTTTTCACGCGCCATAATGTTCCTTTGTTTTTTTTTTTTTCTTTCAATAAACAGCTTTCTATTTGTAAGCCAGTTCGAAATTTAAATAAAACCTTTTATTAGTTACCTCCTTGGTAGCCATGTTTCGAAGGAAAAGGTCATTCCATTTTTAAATTACAGGACAGATATGAGTTTACATAGTAATTTATCTGGCCGCAAAACACGACAGATATGGATTTACATACAGCTTTTGCCGGCCGCTGCCCGTATGTATCTAGCCAGTACGGCAATTTAGATTTATTTCTAAGAAAATTGTCAAAATAATCCTCACATTTCCAAGCATGTTTGAGAAAATTTATTTATTTTATCCTTTATAACACACAAAGACTACATTGTTACAAATTATTTTGACCAAAGATTACAACTGGCAAGCTTAGCTCTGTAAGAGTTCTCTTCTAGCAAATCCAGAAATAAAAAGAAGGAACAGTTTACCTTTTCAGCTTGATCCCACGTCGCCAGATCGCCGAGGTACTTCTCGGGCCGGGTCGAGAGCTTCAATTGGAACGTAAACCCGAACGTCGAGTATATATGCTCCAGGAATTCCAGACAATTGAACTGTTAAGTAAAAAATATGCAATCAGTATTATATATTCTTTATAAGTTACAATAGTAATAATATCTAACTATCTGTTTGCCCGCTACTTCGTCCACGTGAAAAAAAAAAAAAAAAACAATAAAATAGACGATTTTTAGATGACGTGTCAAAACAATATATACACCAGTTTTTTAATTATATCTTCAGGAACATAACTATAAAGATCGCATCTAATTTGGTACAGTAGTTTTTGCATGATACCGGAACAAACATACAAATAGAGATACATTTTTTTTTAAATATTGGTTTGGCTTTTACTGGTCTTACTAAGATTTTTCATATTTTTTTCTATAACATAGAATGGCAAACAAGCTGACGGCCCACCTGATGAAAAGTGGTAACCGTCGCCTATAGACGTGAGCAGTACCATGGACATAACAGAGTATACTGTTTCACCTATGATACCCCCCATACGTTGCCATTCCTAAGGACTCAAATGTTATTCCTCTGTACCCTGTAAATTTACTGCCATATTCCACCTGTTAAACCAATACTCTTCCCCGTTGAAACAGGAATGGGACAGAGGTGCTCAAACAAACGACTTTTATACAAAGTCTCCCTCTGGTGAGGGATCCTCCCTCATATAAATTTTCCTTAAATGTCTCTTTATGTACAGACATCGTGTTGTTCCAATTTTATTATATATATAAGGTATACGATATGATGCATAGAGGAAGGAACAATGAAGTTCAATATCTTTATCGATTTATAGGAGTAATCACTTCTCACTAGGAATTGACCACTGTGGTCTCCCGAAGAGTGCGGGGGTCGACCCAGAGGCGAGATTAGAGTATATATGACGTGAGTGAAAAAGAGATATAAGGGACGCAACTGACAATCTCTGGGGGGAAAGGGATTGTTAGTAATGGAGACTGAGAATCCTGTTGCTAGCAATATACCCAAAACCAGGACATCCTCCTCGCGGTTCCCCCTAGAAACTATCATGGTTAATTCCTGATGAATTCATCATGATGGGCTAACTGGCCTGTTTTCATTCTCATCTATCACCCTTCACTGGTGCTCCGCCAGCGTGTCCCGTTAGCGCAGGCGGGGTTACCATACCATTTTCGCCCAGCAAAAAAAGAAAAATACTGACGATCTCTGTCTCGATGTGCGCGGGCGTGCAGAAGATGTGCGCGTCGTCCTGCTGGAAGCGGCGCACGCGCGTGAGGCCGGTGAGCGCGCCGCTCAGCTCGTTGCGGTGCAGCACGCCGAAGTCCGCCAGCCGCAGCGGCAGCTCGCGCCACGACCGCGTGCGGTTGTCGAACAGCAGGCTGCCGGGGCACAGCCACGTGGCCAGTTTTATTATTAAAGCTTTCCTAGTTTTTTTTATACAACTTAGAATGGCAAACAAGCTGACGGCCCACCTGATGGAAAGCGGTAACCGTCGCCTATACACTTGAGCAGTACCGTGGACATAACAGAGTATACTGTTTCGCCCATGATACCCCCCATGCGTTGCCAATCCTGAGGACTCAGGTGTTATTCCTCTGTACCCAGTAAATTCACGCCATATCCCACCCTTCAAACCGAAACACAGCCATGCAAACACAACTGCTTCACAGTTGAAACACGAATGGGACAGAGGTACCCAAGCAATCGACTTTTGTACAAAGTCTCCCCCTCTGGTATATAAAACAGAATCTTTATGAGTAGGTACGATAAAGATAAAATACATTTATAATCATAAAACGTTTTCGTTGCCTAAACCTTCCTTCACATTACTTGGCGTTGGTGTTACAAAGTAGATACATTTCATTTCATTTTGTACTGTATATTTCGATGTAAAAAACTAACTTTACTAGGTGGCTATTGTCAGTTATTTGTTTCACAGAATAACCACTGTACTTTTTTTATTTATTTTATTTATTTTTCTGGTCTGATTTTAAGTTCTAATATGTTCTAGTTGTTAAGCCATCACATTGTATAAGATCTATGTGTACACTTGAATCAAACTATATGTATCGAATCAGAATAAATAAATATTATTAATAACAGGTCCATTACCAGTGTCCGGGGCAGTTCATGGGCTTGAGAGCGAACGTCTCCTTCTCGACGTCGAATGAGAACATGTTGTCCGCGTAATGCGCCCAGTGGCCGGACGTCTGCCATAGCTTCGCGTTGTACATATTGGGCGTCACCACTTCCTGGAATCCGCGGACTCTGCAAAAAATGAGGACACATTTAGGCTAGCGTCACGTGCAGCGTATCTGCGATCCTTCTACCACCTACCAAACACAAGCAGGAGGGAAGGGATTGTTAGTAATAGGGAGGTTAGTCCCCCATCGCTATCAATATACCTTAACAGACCGCCTTTTGTACGTTTATGTGTATATTTCAATCTGTATTTATGTTACTGTATTTCACTCGAAATATTCACTTGTCATTGTATATTTTTATTTATGGTGCAATAAAGAGCTAGTTTAAAGATAAATAAATAAATAAATACCTGTATTGATCTCGTATAAAGTTGACGAGCGTATTGTAGATGTGAGCGCCGCGCGGCTGGAAGAAGCAGGAACCGGGCGATAGTTCGTGGAAGAAATATAACTCTTGTTCCTATAACGATAAAGTCTCATTTTCATTGGGTTGTTATAATATAAATCTTTACCAATACTATAAGTATATTATAGTGAAAGTGAATTTGTTTAGTTAGTTTTAAACTTTCGTGTCGTTTACATACATTTTAAACAAACTATCGGCACTTAAACAGATGAAAATTTTGATATGGTTTGGACCACGTGTCGTCGTGACCACGACGTGGTGCAATCTACGTCGAGACGTCGGTAATAAAGAAGCAGGTATGTATTTACTATTTAACTGCAAAATTTTCATCGCATTAAGTCCTGATAGTGTATTTTTTTAATATATACGACGACGAGACGATATGGCCAGAATGGGAGTGAATGCGGAAATGACTGGGAATAGAGAAGAATGGAAGAGGAAAACATATTACGCCGACCCCAAATAATAATTGGGATAAGGGTAGGAAGATGAGGATGAGTGTATTTTTTTTAATACGTGATAATGAAATGGTAACCCTGCATTCGTTATCGGTATACGCTGGCGGGGCACCAGTGACGGATGATAGGTGAGGATGAAGCAGGGCAGTTGGCCCATCGTGACGAATTACACAAGAATCAACCACGATAGTTTCCTGGGGGAACCGCGTGGAGGTCGACCTGATAATAATTAAAATATGTGGATCTGTTTATTACTTTTTGGCACCATAACGGCTTAATCAATCACTATGAAATTTTGTATACAATTAATTTATACTACTTGTATAAGGAATGTAGAAGGAGATAGGCTTTTTATCCTGATCATTGATAATATCCCGGTCATGCAGACGAAGTCGCATGTAAAAGCCAGTAACTATATAAAGTAGTATTTTTTATGCAACTTAGAATGGCAAACAAGCTGACGGCCCACCTGATGGAAAGTGGTAACCGTCGCCTATAGACATGAGCAGTATCATGGACATAACAGAGTATACTGTATCGCACATGATACCCTTCATACGTTGCCATAATTGAGGACTAAGGTGTTAGGTCTCAGTAATTTCATAACCATATCCCACCCTTCAAACTGAAACACAGCTATGCAAACACAACTCCTTCACGGTAGAAACACGAATAGGACAGAGGTACCCAAGCAGACGACTTTCGTACAAAATCTTCATCTGGTAATAATGAAATGTATAAAAAATAACTTAGTTAATCTTATTGCAAATAAGATGTACATACCCTGCCAATCTTCCGGTGGTCTCTCTTGGCGGCTTCCTCTTGAATCACTTCCCATTCCTTCAACTGTTTGGGCTCAGGAAACGAAACGCCGTAAACTCGTTGTAAACTCTCTGCGTCCGCTTTGCCTTCCCAGTATGTTGCGGAATTCTAAAATATTATACACATTATATTATAATCAACTAACTACCCGCCCCGGCTTCGCATGGAATTTTTTTTTTTTGATGGATGAGAATAGTACGGTAACCCCGCCTGCGCTAACGGGATACGCTGGCGGAGCACCAGTGAAGGGTGATAGATGAGAATGAAAACAGGCCAGTTAGCCCATCATGATGAATTCATCAGGAATTAACCATGATAGTTTTCAGGGAGAACCGCGAGGAGGTCGACCTGGTTGGGTATGTTGCTAGTAATGGGATTCTCAGTCTACATTACTAACCATCCCTTTCCCTCCTACTTCGCATGGGTGTACTAATGAATATAAGAAATAAGATTATGTGCCACAAAAAAAATCTACTTCAATTGTGGCAAAACAGATTATGATAACATTTCTATGGGACCAATCTGTAAGTATATCCTTTGAAATAAAAATATTTTTTGAAAAAAATTAGAAGACTACCACCGAATCTAGAACCTCCTTGTTTTGAAGTCGGTTGAAAATTAATATAACTTAAGATCAATCTATTAATGTTGTAAATATTTTTGAAGATCTCCCTACTGTCTTCTGTCTCCCTCACTCACTTTTTCATATGGAAATTATTTTATCCATATTTTTTCACTTTTCCAAACAATTTGTCAAACATTTTCTTTCATAATAACCTTTTCCTGACAATTACAAGCACAACAAAAAAAGAATTAGCTAAATAGTCGCAGTCATTCCGAAATAATGCGCTTAAGTACATTTGGCACTTTATTTATCTATCTATCCTATTTAAGAGCTGCGCTCTTGTCGGTGGAGCTCTTGCCACTCACTACGATTTTCAGCGAGTCTCTTCACCTCTTGATACGACACGACACCAACTCCTTCCTTAATCTGCCTAATGTAACTATGTCTCGGTCTCCCTCTTCCCCTTCTTCCTTCTATCTTACCTTCTATTATAATGTTCATAAGTTCGTCGTGTCGTATCAAGTGTCCTAACATTTTTCCCCTTCTGTCCTCAATAGTTCTAAGTACTTTATTTATATAAATTATATTTCGCACAATTATAGGGGCTGAATAATAATCTAGTGTCTAAAAGCCTTCCTTTATATTATATGAAAGAAAGAAAGAAAGAAACTTTATTCTACAGAAATATGCGACAACACCCACACAGGGGTTAAAAAAAATCATATATTAAGAATTATAACAATGAAACTACACACAATATTTTATATATATATATAAAAGAATATAAAATTAAAAAAGAAAAAAATTATCTCATCCTAAGGGGGAGACTTATGTTCAGCAATGGACAGTTAAAAGCTGATATGACGATGATTCTGATGTGGATAAAAGACTTACCTTAGTAACCTTAACGGCTTTGACCTTGCCAGTATGTCGGACATGGGGCCCCCTACATAAGTCAATTAACGGGCCACATCTGTACACCGTGGTGGTCGGCGTGGTCACCTTCTCATTCAGGATACGCACTTTGAATTGGTTGTAATCAAACATTTCCAACAGTTGTTCCTTGGTCAATTCCAGACGTTCAAAAGGCTGCTTCTCTTTAGCTATCTTCTTTATTAAACCTTCTAGTACATGGAAATCGCTGGATGAAATCTGTAAAACAGTGTATGTGTATTATTATTATATTTCATTTAAGAGTTTCCTCTTGTCGGGGCAACTAATTAATGCATTCAATTCATTTATTAAAATTAAATAAGATTTATTCTTAAAAAAAACATAACTGTAGTTGTTTCTTAACTAATATTAATATTATAGTTTTATAAGGTTATTAATAAATGTATTTATTGCATTCTACAATATTATTTTAAAAGATCTTAATAATTAATTAAATATATTGTACACACTGTCAGGCACAGCAATTAGAAGCGAGAAGGGCGACGTTGTTTTTAAATTTTTATAAAGATTTCAATATTTTTTATATAAAAAATAAAATCTAAGGATATTAAGTTTGCCTCTTCTATTGCCTTTTTGTTTTTTTTTTTTTAATGTGTAATGATATATTATTATACTATTGTATTAACCCTCACAGTATGAATATATCACGTCTAAAGAGCAATGTATGCATCATTGCGGTTCAAAAACATATATATTACACTGTTTAAAAAAAAAGTATCTTAATTATGTATTTAAAGCGGTTTTATATAAATAATTATGACCCATAAGTAATTACGCTTACCCCTTTCTCTGGATAGTACATATCATAGTAGAAACCTTCCTCGATAGGTGGACCATAGCATAGACAACCGCCATAAACCTGTAAATAAAAATTAATATTAAATAAAGTCTCACAGCAGTATAATTATTTATTTGAAAGCAATTATCACTACACATATCACAGGGCACGTAAAATCGTTGTCTGATAAGCCATGACAGAGCCCTTCATATACAATGTCGGCTGCTTAAAACTTATTGATCATTGAGGGCGATACCATAATAGTAATAAAGATAACCTTTGACATAACCTATCTATATACATGCACAATAGGAATTTTATGAACTTACTATGTTTGTCATTTACGACAATTGTACGGACTTCGTGTCGGAAGTCTTGTTCAGAAGGAGTACGACGCTTTGCATCACGGTATCAAAAAATGGGCATAAATTTTAAAAATATCATTGTCATACCCTTTCTAAAGCCTCGCCCAACATATGGGCCGACGAGTGCCAGAAAACAGCTTGTGCGTCGGTATTATCCCAGCGGAGGAGTTCCAACTTGCAGTCACCTTCCAGCGGACGATCGAGGTCCCACAGCTCATTGTTTACGCGGGCAATGATGGTGGAGTCCGCCAGACCCTGGCTAGAGGAAGAAGGAACATCAGAATGAATAGCAAGTACGCGTCTACTTGATGGTAAGTGGCTATTGCAACCTATGAATGTTTGCAAGACCAGAAATGGTTGTTTTAAAATAATTCTATTTACACTCTTATGTTTGGCCTATATTAATTTGGTAACCATTGAAGTGGCAGATTTTTATAGAATAAAATTTTAAACTATGTAATTATGTACTCTTATTGAAATTCCAATATGCATGCATTTCTCTTATTCTGAGTGAAAGTAAACAAGCAGGTAGCTAGACTTCTAAGAAAATCCAATGATAACACATTATTAGACACTGTATACGTAAAATTATCATATTATATCTACATAGAGTTGCATACATCAGAACATAGCTGCCTTCCTAACCTAAGCCCAGTTAGGGAATATAGATGAGTATGTCTAGTTTAATAAAGTCCCATGAACTACTACTCTCATAAAATTTATTAAAATTGAGTGATTACTAGAGTTAATAAACTGACCAGCTGGCCCACACGGAAATAATTCCTAGCTATACCAATGGATGTTTTAATAATTTACTGTAACTCAACACGATATCATACAATTTAAGATACAATTTTACAGTCACGGGATAATAGAATTTATAAAATTCATAAAATTTCATATTATATGTTGCTTTTTTATATTATGACAATAAAATTGTATATTATGTACTTGTTATGATAAATTATAAAAGTGTCCAATACTGCCAACTGAACACCAGGTAAAACAATATGATCAGGCCTTTATACCCCTAAAAAGGACAAGCAACAGATATACAAGTATTAATTTTTAAATTAAAAACATTGTGTTACTATCCCATTTAATAGACAGGTGGGCACACAGAATAAAGGCTTGAAACTTATAACAGCCATCATGGGTTGGTAAAATATGCATATATTTATTTATATAGCATAGTAACATTACATTAATATATGATAGTATTATTATTTTGATGATTAGAAATAAGTTATCAATACAACAAAGTATAAGCTTATGTAATTCATAAAGCCAGTTTTTTTTTACTACAAAAACAATATTATTTTCCATCATAATATGAAATCAACCAAGGCAATTCAACATCATTGCACATCATCAAAATCAAGCACTGCTCATGAGTGATACTTACTATTCAATCCAAAACTCGCTTGCGAGCAGGCAAACAAGGTTTTCTATTATTTACAGTTCTGTATTAATAACTCTGAAGTCAGAACCATGAACTATTATAAAACATTTGCAATTAATTAAAAATCCATAATAGTTTTAGTTGAAATTATAAATCTCTGTAAAAACTTTCAGAATTCTAAATAATCTAAGCTTTATTTTAATCCCATCAATATTACCACGGGAATAGGTGGCCATTAGTTCTCACAAGTATCAGAGGATAGTTTCATTCAAATAGTTTTATTTTTTTTAAATATAAAGACAGTTAAACAACTCCAACCATCATAGAGAGAAATCATGCTACCATATTTAAAAATACACAAACTTCACATTCTATTAAATATGAATGACATAACTTTATAAAGACAAAAAGTGTCATCATATTTAATCTAATATTATTAGGTATGTAATATCAATATTAAAAAAAAAAGTATATTAGTTGGTTTAGTCTCATCAGAGTGGTTAAACCAACCAATTTTAAACTATAAGGAACTACTTCACCCACACTTTTATTTCTATATTAATTAAATCCTCTCATTCATTTTATTCAACATTTCATTTATGGCATATACTCACTATTGATCCATAGAGATAATCTGTTATATATTATATTTATAAGCTAACTAATAACTATTAAGTAACACTAAAACACCAAAATTCTAACCAATAAAAGATACAGATATATCATCATTCACAGCCTGTGGTATCCCACTGTTGGGCAAAGGCTTCCTCCAACTACTTTCACCTCCCAGTGAAAGCATATCGGGTCTTGTGGAATAATTTGAGATCATACTTCCACTGCACTATTTGTATGATATAAAAAAAAATCTTACCTAATACCCTTAGCTACATCATATGGGGTAGTTCTCCAAGCTTTGGCTTCCACGGTCTTTCCATCGGGCAGTGTGACAACAATACTCAATTCTGGTTTACTAGCCAACTCCTCAACATATTGAGCCTTATATTTATCCCACAGTGCAATTCTCTTCTGGATATATTCCGGCCATGGGTTCAACTCCGACACGGAACCTGCATCTTCAGTTTTTTTCTTTTTCTCTTTCATCGCTTTAGTTTTTGACTGTAAATGATAATTTTGTTTTGTAATAAATGATTGGGAATTAATTCTTATACATTTATATTATTATTAAGCAACATCAAAGGTCTTCAAGTAAATAAAATCGGCCTAGAAACTCTTGTCACTAGATGGCGCAATCCTTACATGAATAGTAGTTATTAATACAGATCATACAAAAACTGATTGAGCTGACCAATATGACACTAAACTTACATTATCATTTGAAAATATTATTGTATAATACATTAGTTTAAGAGATATATTTGAAAACAAGTTATATTTAAATAATAGAAACAAAACATTGGTTATAATAACTATTAATTTCGTAAGAAATAACCCACACAGAACTTTGCAAAGGTGTTCCAAAAAAACTACAGGCCTACATTCACATGCATATGAACAGGATGATCAGTTATCACGATCTGAACTAGGATATTATTAAATGATTCATATTTTCAGCAATGTTTGCTGACGAAACAGTCCTACAAACCCATGTGGCATAAGTCTCCTTCAAACGGACCACGCAGCGTCCGCGGAAGACGAACAAGTTTAACATCACTTAAATAGCCGATAGAAATATTAACCGCGATTAAATAAATTGTTTAAAATCCTGCCTTTTCATTTATATTTAGGTTTTGTATGTCTTCGACAGCAGTGTCACCCATCGCGATCGTGTGCTCGTTCAACTTCAATTGACACTAATGACAGTCACGAACTGACAGCTAAATAATACTTCCGTATACGTAGATTAAGAATAGTATTTATAGTTCAACATTGTGAGTTCAACCCATAAAGAAAAATAAGTACTTAGTCTATAACATTAATAATCTTTGTAGACGGTCTGAAATAAAGCAATTAATAAAATATAAATACTTTTTTATTTAACTTAGAATGGCCACTAAGCTGACAGCCACCTAACTGAAAGTGTTAACTGTAGCCTACACATAAAACGTAAACGGTATCTACCATGAACATAACAGAGTATACTGTGTCGTTCATGATTCGCCTCGCGTGTTGCTATTCCTGAGGACTAATTAATTGTTATGTCTACGTTTCCTATAATTTTATTGCTATATCCCACTATTCAAACCGAAAAACAATTATACAAACATAATTGCTTCACGGCAAAATCACAAATGAAATAAAGGTTTCTAAAAAACAACTTTTTATAAACTCTCTCTCTAATATAAATACTTAATTGAAACAAATTGGTGAATAATGAAATTTAAATTAATGTAATAGTTTAAAATTATATGTGCAATATCTATGTACAGCCCACAACCGTACTTTTTTATGTTATTATCTATTATTTGACATAAATACATCTTATTTATTTGTAATTTATAATATCAGAAGCACTATTCACGGTGATTGAAACTTTCGATCCTTCGAGCCGAGGATTAAAAGATGTTCATATAGATATTCAGAAAAGATGATATAAATTAATCTATTTAACATAATAAAACTGATAATATATATATGCTAACGGTAGTAAATATAGAAAGTGCGTAAGGAAAAAATTACTCAGTTTATTAAATAAAATAATTAACATTCACAAATTAGGCAGTCTACTATCAGATGAATAAGCCAAATTATCTTCTACGATACAAAAAAAATATATATAATATAATCTAAACCAACAAACTCGAAATAAGTATACACATGGATCTCTATAAAGCGACAGTTACGTATCGAGATAAAACTAGATGTAAATACTTTTTTAATATTTATTTTAAAAATAAAATTTAACAGGATTGTCATTTTAAGATTTGCTATTTTTAACGTCAACGATAAACATAAAAAATTGAAATGTGACTGTAAAAATAATTATTAACTAAGTAATTTTAAAAAAGATAATAAAAAATTCAAGTGTAACAGCCAATTTGTCTACATAGTCAATGTTATGGACGCAACTCTGCAGCGAATTATAACTACATTGAAGCATTTCGAGAGGAAACTTGACAAATTGCAAGACGCTGTGAGCTATCATGGTCAAACATTGTCCGAACTGCGTTTCATGGTGACGAGTTTGTCGAATACGGGCGATAAGATTTTCCAGAATGGAAAATTAGAAGATTATAAATATCCTATGAATAAGACAACTGCAATGCAATACGACGAACGCGTACATATAGAAGAACCAGTTAAAATGAAAAGGAAAGCTGCCATACAGCCTTTACAGAGCAAAACAAAGGCGAAAATCTTCCCGAGTGAAAAATACGGATTTAGGTCATCTAGTCTTGACGAGTCGTTTTTGAATAAGCTCCCGCTAAATACAAATGATCTTGGGAAACATACGGGTAAGCTGGAAAAGGTGGATGCACGTAGAAAAGCCACGATGTTGAGAACACAAAAGGAAATAGATAAAAAGAGAAGCAAGATTTAATTTAGCAGTAATTCAAATCTTTAACTTTTTCTTTATGGAATAATTCGAGTTCTCAATTTAAAAATTCAACACATGAATTACAGATAAAATTATGACGACCCAGTTTAATAGATCCTCCTCCTTTATTGCAGGTTAAAAACTAAATTATATGGGTTTGTTATCTAATCTGCGTTATTCATGTAAAATAAAATGCAAATAATAGTTATAATTGTGTATTTTCATAATATTTAACATTGGAATGTATACAAGAAAAACGAGATAATTTTAGATTGAAACCATTCACCTTCTGTCCAACTTATATTCTTCAGGGTTGCGAGGCGAATGCAACTTTTCAATCTCATTCTAAACAATTTAAATATTTACAAACTTTCACAAATAAATAAGGCAGTTACAGGTCTATCGGTTTATCTATTTATTGAACACATATTATGTTCCACAAAAAATAATCTTACAATCTTTAGGATTGCAAACATAAATATAAAAATCAATTTAGAATTGGCAAAGGTGTCGCATAACATAAACACTCATAAACACATGCACAAAAAATATAGTCAAATTGAGGAAATTCTCTTTGAAGTCGCACTGAATTGAGAATCTACTACTTATTGTGTATAGGTACGTAATTAAATCAACTAATAATACATCAAGCCAGCATAGTAATAGTCTACTAATATCCTCTGATGGGAGACTATGATCACGATTCAACAAGTTAGTCTTAACTTAAACTTTAAAAAACCTGATAGGTCAAAAGTAGGGCAGAATCTGAAATTATTTCATTCCATAGATTAAGCACAGAATTATAAAGTTTTTTTGTTTCTCTTATAAAATTATTTTATAAGAGGATAGGCGAAGGAAACGAAGCCATGCAGCCGAGTCCAACATGGGATTTACTTTGTAGTACCCAGGTCTAAAACTCCTTAACCGTATTTTTAATGAATATATTAAGCAGAACTGCTTGTGAAGCAAAGGAGTTTGCTGATAACTTTTAAATCTCTATTTGTTTTATATTTCGAAAAATTTAATCTGTGTCCTGTGATTCTGCTAATTCAATTTAATTTGTCAAGATTTTAAATAGTCAAAATAAGGTCCTTAGGCATATAAAGGACACGTACCTCTTTCTACGCTCCTGAGCATAAACCCTGTGACGCTTTAACATTGAAACAGAATTTTTTTACTTCAGTTACATGCACCGATTTAGTTCTATAAATTACAAATATTCTTTAAATGTAATGAATACAATAATAATAGTAAATTATTAATTAATAATTTGTAGTTATTAATCTGTAATATAAATAACTGTAAATTATAATTCCGGTCCAATGATTCTAATAGTAAATTCACGTAAATACATAATTGTCATAGTAACTTTCAAGTACATAAGTGTAATAGTAAAGTGTTAACGATTAATGCAATATTTAGTACATATGAATATACAATAAGGCAATAATATAGCACATTAGTGAAGGCGTTTCAGATACGAGGCTACATAAATTTATAAATTGTATAATAATCGATTATAAATGATTCGATAGAGTTCCGAATAATCTAAATATTGTTTCAATAGTATGGAGGTTATCTGGAGAATACAATTCAAATATAAAATGCTTCATCAAATATGAGCACAGGCCTTTTAATCAATGACACATTATAAAAACAAATTTTTCTTTTGTTTTTAAAATAAGTTAACAGTGAATGTAATAACATATTTTTTACATAATTAATATTGCTTATAAATTTATTAAAAATACAAAAAAAAATTATACAATAAAAAAAATGTTTATGTTTTGGTCATATATTTATGGTAATTCAAAGAAGCAATTTTAACAATTCTTAATGTGTTAAAACTTAATTATTACGATGATAAATATAGTTCATAATGTTAGACCTACTTATTTTTATAAAACTTAAATCAGTTTTGACATATTATGGATTTTTAAAATTGCACAACTCGGACCAAACTGGGTCAGTATCAACGGCCAATATTATACCTTAATAAATAGTGCTACATTTAATTACATGAGCATGCCCTCACATGGCAATGAATTTATTTATTGACATAAGGCTTATTTTTGAGCTGCAGAGGCTTGGCCAGGACATTAATAAATAATATAAGCCGTAGTAAATCTATGTTTTATGACGGACGAAAGTGTACCCAGAATTGTCTTTCCTACATACAAACCTTTCACATTACATGCGAATTTTGCTAGTGAATACTCACCCTAACAGTCTACAAAGAAACGTAACGCATAACAAAACCAATTTTATTGGTACTAACAATTTACAATCAATTTTAAAAATTGCACATCACAAACTTCTTAGATATATTCTTGAATTCTAGCATTTATAATTATAGTAAAAAATACTGGTACAAAATTACCAGCATACTATAAATAAAAAAAAAAATTAAATTTTAAATTTATAGAATGGTTCGATATTTGAAAATGTTTATTGCTTTTTGGCCACAGTGGCCAGTATCTCGAACCCACTGGACTTGGCGTCTAATGATTGTCTGAATATCTGAGCGTGTTGCCAGGCGACGTCACCCGTGCCGCCGGTCAGTTCTACGCTAATCACTGCCGTAGTGAAATCGGCATTGAAAGTCGTTGGCGATTCTGAAAATTGTTACAATTACATTAATTTCCTTGGGAGCTGTATTGAAAACAATATTTATAGAATTTCACACCTCTGGACATTGGCGTATTTATCATTAGCTGTAACCCGTGGACTTTACTCGCATGAATCAGTATTTGGTAATCGTAATAGATATCAGAGGGAGACTTTGTACAAAAGTCGATTGCTTGGGTACCTCTGTCCCATTCGTGTTTCTACCGTAAAGCAGTTGTGTTTGCATGGCTGTGTTTCGGTTTGATGGGTGGAATATGGCAGTGAATTTACAGAGTATAGGGGAATAACACCTGAGTCCTCAGGAATGGCAACGCATGGGGAGTATCATGGGTGTAACAGTATACTCTGTTATATCCATGGTACTGCTCATGTCTATAGGCGACGGTTGCCACTTTCCATCAGGTGGGCCGTCAGCTTGTTTGCCATTCTAAATTGTATAAAAAAATATCAATACCTGTGTATCAAATTTAATTCAAATAAGTACAGAAGTTTTTGCGTGAAAGAGTACCAAATAGCCATCCATACTTACAAACTTTCGCATTTTTAGTATTAATAGGGTTTGTTGTAGCTAATTATGGTATATTGTTTAAAAAGGCAAATAAAAGAATATAATTATGCCATATAATATACAGTGCACGCACCAATACATATAGATATACCTTACATCGATATTTAACGCACACAAACATATTATAGGCCTTCAACTAATGTTTTATAATATAAGTATTAGTAAAAAGAGATTATTACTTTAGTTCGCATTAAAACAATGTAGTAAGAAGACGTGCCATTTAATTTTTTTTAAAACAGATCAAGCAAAATTACGTTTGAACCTTAAATGCTGCAACACAATGAGTTCTTTTTCAGAATCTTTAATTAAATTATCATAGTTTATATCACCTAGACTAGATGATCGCGTTAATTCCCGTCTCTTATTCCGTCCGTGCTAATTGAAAATCAGCGTTTCTGCTTTTGCAGAAACTTTAAGCTGAATTGGCATCCTTTTTCATTACCATGACACTGTCTGTATTCTACTAATCTTTATTTATAAATGTAAACTTTTTTTTCTATATTTTATTTATTTACTAGCTGACCCCGTAAACGTTGTTTTACCATTTATTGCGAAATATAAAATACAGGGGTTGATCGTAAAACGATGAAAATTTAAAGTTGTATGTATTTTTCAATGCTAAATCATATTAAAAATAAAAATAAAAAAAAAATTGTCAAAAAATAAAAAAAAAATTAGGGGTTGGTCACCCTTATCATTGAGAGGTATTAAAAATAGATGTTGGCCGATTCTCAGGCCTACCCACCCAATATGCACACAATATCGGTAAAGCCGTTTCGGAGGAGTTTGGTAACAAACACCGCGACACGAGAATTTTATATATTTATTTATTTTTATGTTGTCATTACTTATAATCTAAGTATATGTAAGTGTTATGGTTTATTGAAATAAATTTTCGTACATTTATTCATTCTTATAAGCCATGATATACAGATTTTAATTCCAAACAAACACAAATTCAAATAGAATAAATAAAAAAAAAATGTTTCGACTAACTAAATATATCGACTTACCACTAAATTTAGCTGAAACAGCATCCTTTTCGTCAAACTTTATCTTCCAGTCGACATGACCGGTCTCGAAGACAGTGGTACTGGCCTGTACGGTGAGAGCCTTGAACACGTGCTCACTGTTTGTGTTTAATCTCCAAGACACGCTACCATGGTCTGTGTCCGCTGGAAAATTAGTCGTTTAGAATCATACAAAGGCAAGAGTATGTAGGACTCATATTATTGTGGGTTTATAATTTATAGCAATATTTCATACTAGTAGGCGGCTTCTCCCACGTTTATCAGTATATAAAACATCCTATGTGCTAAGTTAGGACAATCTATCTGTGGACCAAATTTCATTCTAAACTGAGGGCCTACCATTAAATGTTTTCTGAAATTTCGGAGTTAAACGAAACACAAATTTGATGTTAAAATTACATAATACATTCCGTTCAGAAATATTAAAAATGTTAAAATATTGTCCCTTTGGACTTTTATGATAGGATGTATGACGAACGAAATGTTAAACTCCATTTATTGAAACACGAAATTGAGTCCGAAATTTAGGAATTTCATTTCATGGTAGACCCGCTGTTCAGTAGTTTTTCTACGTTATAAACTATTTAATTTATGACATTAATAATATGTATATTTTTTCAAGTCTTTAAAATTAATAAATTTTACAATTCCTCTATATTTTTGTTTCACGTCTTATATATTTTACTAATATAACAAAACTGTAATTTGACGATGTCTGTATACATAGATGTTTAAGAAAAAATAATAATAGCAATAGATGCCAAAACGTAAGCAAAGTGCACGTGACACCCCTAGTGTTGCAGGCGTCCATAGACTGCAGTGATCATTTACCATCAGATGAGCTGTATGCTTGTTTGACATATATATATATATATATATATATATATATATATATATATATATATATATATATATATTCTTTCTTTCTTAAAAAAAAAGAAAAAAAAACACCTGTTTGTCTGTCTGTATGTTTATTTCGACATCACGAAAAAACTATACACTAAATTGAATTCAGTCTTTACAGTTATGTTCCTGAAGTTCAAAGTTATCTTGTAATTTAAAAACTGGTGTGTTTTATCTCGATACGCTATCTATAGTCGATCTATTTAATTGGTTTTCCTATATCATATTCTGAAATCCACGCGAATGAAGTAATGAATAAAAAGTTAGTATAGCTTTTTACTCATTATTTTGTTCATTGGACAGATAAAGGAAACACTAGGTGTCATGTCGTATAGGGAGGTCAAGGATATGGTCTGGGATAGAACTGACTGGAAGAAAATGAACGAATTGCTTGCACCGACAAGAGGAAACTCTTAAATGAAAAGAGAGAGAGAGACAATGTTAAATAATTAAACATTTGGGCTAATAGTTGGTGTACTATTCCAAGATGCATAAAATTCGAAGTATAAAAAAAATCACTCACGTTCTCTTGCTAAATACACCTGCCTCCAGTCGAGCTCGGTCTTTCTAAATACGCCTTTACGCTCATAAGCGCCAGCCTCCCATCCGACAACCAGCTCGTCCTCCCCGCTATCGCCGGATATCCGGTACTTATCCGTGCCCGGGTAATACCGGATACTGTAGTTACCCGGTTGGGTGAACTCGAACGTATGGCTATGTTTGACGTTACCGATCTCGCCGCGCTTCTCCCGCCAATCTTTCGATCCGGTTATCCGGCCATGCATTTCTTTGTCTTCTGGTTTTCTGGAAAGAACATTTTAGCTATATTTATGGGGTTCTCTATTTTTTGTTATCATTATAAACGACATAAAGTCGTATTTTCATTATTCAACGTTATGATTTGTTCATCATTATCATCACCATATCAGCCCTTAATGGTGAACATAAGCCTCCCACTTGGAGGATTTTGCAAGTAGTTGCCAAGCTTGACAGGCAGATTGGCAACCACAATTAGGCTTTACAGATATTTTAAGACGGACGATACTGCCCATCCCTCGCCCTCTCTTAGTGGCCTCTTACGATACCCATGTCATGGGAAAGGAAAGAGATGGCCTTCTAGGCCGTCGGGACCACACGGACAGATTGATTTATATTATTTTTATTTTTATATTTACAATTATTATATTTGATCGCCATCTTGCAACCCTATTGCGGCGGGGATGATCGTAAAAGCGTGAAAATTTGAAGTTATATGTATTTCTTAATGCTAAATAAAATAAATATAAAAAAACTTTGTTCAAAAAATTACAAAAAAATATTTAGGGGTAGATCAGATGATGGACAGGGTAGATATTGGCCGATTCTCAGACCTACCCGATACGCACACAAAATTTCATAAAAATCGGTAAAGCCGTTTCGGAGAAGTTTGGTAACAAACACCGCGACACGAGAATTTTATATATTAGATAACATATTAAGCTAAAAAACTATCTTCACGAAATTTTGAAATTAATTTCAATTAATCACGAATGATTCAAATTAAGCATTGACAGTTCAGACGAAGGATCCTTGTCTGTGATTCGGAAATGTCAAGATCAAGCTTAAACAACGGAATTTGCATACTATTTTTACCTTTCCACCATGAGCTGTACAAGCTCCTCGAGGGCCCGCTTGGCGAGGTACCGGCGCCTAGCGTCCGACACCTGGCGTTGTCTGTGCTCCCGTAACGCCATTATGCCCAATATCAACTCCATCTCGTCGCAGAGATTTCGTCTTTTCAAAACCTGTCACATAATTTTTTTTATACCACTGAAGTGGCATACAAGCATACGGCCCACCTGATGGTAAGTGGTTACCGTAGCCTATAAACACCTGCAATAACAAAGGTACTACGTGTGCGTTGCCGACTCTAAAGAAACCTCTTTAACCCCCTTTTGAAGAACCCCAGGCTCTTGGGAAAAACTCGGCAGGGAGCTCATTCCGCAACCTGAGTGTTCGTGGGAGGAAACATCTCTGAAACTGCGCAGTACGCGACCATTGAGGCTGTAGGACAAGAGGATGAACACCCTGTCGATGGCGAGCCGTACGATGATAGAAATAATCTTTATTATGCCACAGATACTTGACAGATTGTTAAAATGTACCGTATGTTATAGATAGTAAGTTCCTTAATTGTTTGCGGTGAGAAATTGTTGTAAATCATCGAATATATAAAGTGATTATTAGAAAGAAAAAAAATGTTCAGAGAGAATAATGTTATTTTTATTCGAACAATAAAGGACAAGACAAAAAGTAATATAGAACAGTAATTTTAAAATTATCTCAAATTCTATATATTAAAATATTTTCAGCCATTATCAAGAGAATTAAATAAATAAATTACGGTTTCTAAGATTCATATTTGCTGATAGAATGTTTGTGATCAAGTATGGTTGAATAAAAAAACATTTTTATTCTATTCTTACAAACTAAAATCCATCATCATCATCATCATATCAGCCGTTAACTGTCCACTGCTGAACAAAGATCTTCCCATAAGGGGATTTTTGTCAATACTTGTCTTAAGAAGCAGGTTAACAGTCACAGTTTTTTTTCTATGGATGATAATGGGATGGTAACCCCGCCTGCGCTATCGGTATACACTGGCGGGGTACCAGTGAGGGATGATAGGTGAGGACGAAGCAGGTCAGTTAGCCCATCGTGATTAATTCCACAAGAATTAACCACGATGATTTCCAGGGGGAACCACGTGGAGGTTGACCTGATAAGGTATATTGCTAGCAATGGGTCAGTTGGACCCCATTACTAACAATCCCTTTCCCCCCCAGCAGTCGCAGTTAGGCTTAGATGAAGTTTCAAGAAGGACGCTGCTGTCCACTCTTCGACCATTAAATTTCCTTAGTCACCTCTTAAGACACGGGAAAGGAAATGGTGGTCCATTCTATGACAGGACCACACGACAATCATCATTTTTTTAGCTAAATCCTTAATGTTTCTTATTTTATTATTATTATCTAGTGGAATCTTACCTCTTTATGATTAGTGGTATACCTCCAGGTGATATCTTGGAGGTCGTCTCTAGAGACACCTATGACGTATGAGAGCTTCTTGCCCCAGCCGTGGCTGTAGGTTAACGGCGCATCCATTACCGCCTCACATGGGTCCACGTGAAGCCACTTGTTCGAATCGTAGTCATACACCTGGTTGAAAATTTAAATTGATCATAAAAACTTATCACGTGATATTGGTGGGTTAAAAAACCGGTTTCATACAATTGGTGAAAGGGTAATAGAAGGTGGCAATCGATTGAACTAATTCATAATAGTAATTTTAGTTCCTAAATTGCTCAGCAGAGGCTGCACCTATGTTCGCTCGATTACCGCTTTTAGGTAAAACGTTAAAAATGAAGATTGACAGAAAATATCAAGTAAATAATAATGATGATACAGCCGTTAACTGTCCCCTACATAATAACATAATAGGCTTCGCCCTTGGGGGATTTTAAAAGTAGTTGCCACACTTGACACGCAAGGTTGGCAACTGAAGATACGCTTTGATGATGTTTTAAATGGGATGTTGATGTCCATCTCTCGACCATTAACTTCCATTAGTCGCCTCTTACGACACCAACACCGAATTAATTGGGTATAAATCTCACTATGTATCTAACCAAATTTATAGGGGGGAAAGGGACTGTTAGTAATGGGGTCTAACTAACCCATTGCCAGAAATACAGAGTGTATTCAGGTAATATTTAGTATTCAGTATAATCAGGTCGACCGCCACGCGGTTCCCCCTGGAAATTATCGTGGTTAATTGTAGTGGAAGACATCACAATGACCTGACTGACCTACTTTCATCATCACCTATCATTCCTCAGGCCACTAGACCTCATAGTAACCCTTTATTAGATACCCCATAAACAACATATAACTATAGTTAGTAATGAAGAACTGTGAGTAGAAAGGTTCTTGAGTGGCGACCACATACAGGTAAACACAGTGTAGGACGACCCCTCACTAGATGGAGTGACGACTTGAAATGCATTGCAGGGAGTCAGTGGATATAGGTGGCTCAGGACCGTTCTTTATGGCAGTCTATGGGGAAGGGTTATGTCCAGCAGTGGACGGGTAATGGCTGAAATGATAATGATGATTATTAGTAATGGGATCTCCATTACCGTAAGGGGAGAGTTATATAAAAGTAATGGCTACTAACCTCGCACCAGACGTGGTCGGTGACGTCATACACGTAGCGCGTGTCGTAGCCCAGGGCGCGGCTCAGCAGCGTGAAACAGCCGGCCCACTCGCCGCAGCGGCCGCGCCGCGACCTCAGCAACGTGCGCAAGTCGTTGTAGCGGGGGAACTCTGTCTCCCTCTCGCATTTGTGGCACTCATATAACTGAGGAGATAGAGATTTGAGTATAGTAGTATAATTTAGAATAGAATAGACTAGACTAGACTAGAATCGAATCACTTGTATAAAACAGTATCATAGACATTATATAATATTGTAGATTATTCTAAATCTATATTCAAAATTCGAATCACATCTGTTCAAAGACTTGTTTACTAGCACTTTTAAATAGTTTTTTTTTTTTATTTACTGCAAGGTTCAGAAGGTCTGTCGAGTCTGTCGAGAAAAGCCCGCAAGAAACTTAACAGTTACACTTTTAAATCTCTGTTAACATTATGTGTATTTATTTAAATGTACTATATCTAAAATTTACATGGTAGTTAAAAGCCCGTGCATGATCGACTAACACCATGCACATTTGTCATTCAAGTAATCGTTTAGTGTGTAATAGGTTTTATTCAATAAGTGTTTTTAATAACAGTTTTAAACTTATAAAAAAGGTAGATCCAAAATATCCTTCGGTATCTTATTATAACATTTAATGCCCATTCCAATAAAAGACCTATTGACTTTTTCTAAAGGATACTTTGGAATAGAAAATTTGAATTTGGACCTAGTGTTAAGATTATTAAGATCGCTGTTTTATAAAAAACAGTTTAAGATTCTTGCATTTATACAAAATGTTTGCATATATGTATTATCCAACTACGGTGAGAACATTTGCTTCCTATGATACCCATATCGAACACGTCAACTAAGCGTTTGTTAGCAGTGCAAAATTATACCTCCAAATTGCAGGTTTCAGTCTCGGTTTTCAATAACGAAGTGCCAGCGAATACAGTCTCACCGCCGCATCCCTCGCATGGTGGCTTGTCGACCCATGAGAAGAATTTATATTTGAACCAATTAATGAGCTCCATCAGCAGCGCTATGTCGAATGGGAGGTCGTGCCCTTTGAATTCACCTGAGAATGGTAAACATCTATGCTAATATTATAAAGAAGTAAATGGAGTAATGGACCTTCATCGTGCCTCCGATCAAACTGTTTATAATTACTCCTCTCCATCCAAAGGTTGCATGGAAGAGATCGCTTTTAGCGATAAGGTCGCCCATTGTTTTCTCACTGCGATTATTTCTTGTAATTGTTTATCTCTAGAATAAGTTTACTATTGTAATCTTTTGGAGGAAACATTAAAGAGTATCTACCTATGTATCTATCTAAATTTGTGGGTTTAGATGTTCAGGATAATTATTACCAGAGGGAGTCTTCTGTCTCATTCATATTTCTACCGTGAAGCAATTGTGTTTGCATGGCTGCGTTTCGGTTTGAAGGATGAGATATGGCAGAGAATTTACAGGGTACAGAGGAATAACACCTGAGTCCTCAGAAATGGTACTACTCATGTCTATAGGCGACGGTTATCACTTTCCATCAGGTGGACCGTCAGCTTGTTTACCATTCTAAGCTGCATAAAGAAATAGTGATCTAAACCAGTGAGATAAAATAAGTGACAGTCTTTTTTTAAATGATAATTAGGCGACGGTTACCACTTTCCATCAGGTGAACCGCTAGCTTGTTTGCCATTCTAAGTTGCATAAAAAAAAATCTGGTAATAGTGATTCGATTTTGAAAATTCACTGTTAGAAAGGTATATTGGTATATCCTTGAGTGCTATAGGATACTTTTTACTTTGGTAATGCGAAAAAATAAGATAATTTGACAAAATCCCCCCAATAGAGGGAGGCCTATGTTCAGGAGTGGAGAGTTAACAGCTAACATGATGATGATGGTATGAACTATAGTAAATATTTATATGCTTCATTCAAACTCCCATAATGTCACAATATAATGGCGATTGATGCGGGAAAGGGATTGTTAGCAATGGAGTTTGACAGCCCCATTGCTAGCAATATACTCTGTTAGGTTGACCACCACGTGGTTCCCCCTGGAAACCATCGTGAACAATTCTTGTTGAATTCGTCACAATGGGCTAACTGACTTGCTTCATCCTCACCTATCATCCTTGGCTGGTGTCCCGCCAGTGTGCAGGTGGGGGTTACCATTCTATTATCACCTATTAAAAAAAGATTGTGATATCTACTGACCAGTTTTTATCTTTCTCTGACGTTCTCGAACTCTGTCTATGGCCATCAACTGCAATGTCACGATGGGGATCTGTCGTCGTGCCAAATCTTGTAACTCCTCATCTTCATATTTGATCATGTTATTGAATAATGATTGAATTTTCAGCAACAAAGGATTCATTGTTTTCTGCGATAAATTATAAAACATATCTTTACTAATATTATACTTCAATGTTGCATCCTCAAGATTTAAGTATACCATGTAGTCCGTTGTCTTATATACCGCATCAGCACACAGTTTAGATTTTATTTTTATAAAGAAAATACAAGATATTAAAAAAATAAAAAATAAAGAGGAGTTACACTGACTTGACATCCGGGCCGATGCCATCCCTAGTTCTCATTCGTGTTTTGTGTGCCGCATCAACTACACGGTCTTAAAATAAACTAATACAATTAGGATAGTTACACGATCTATAAGTTATTATACTATCGTTTTACTCATAATGGGAAAAAATAAACGTAAGCGAAATAAAAGTACCGATGTGTTAATGCGTAAAATAAGAAAATTAGAAAAAGAAGTTGAACGGTCGCGACGTCAATATTCATCGGACAGTGATGAAAATAACAATGGATTGGATGGTGAGTTTTATGACCTAATTGCTCTTTTTATCTATTATATTTCTGTCTATATGCATGGATTTCATATCATGATAAGCTGTTAGAAACTTGTTTTTTTTCTAATCAGTTACCCAATAATTCATCTACCCACGTAGTAAAAATATATCTACATCTTGTACGTACTTGTAAATGGAATTTTATTTCTCTTAAAATTACTTAAGTACATGATTTATGGGAATACATAAAACATTCTAAATACTAATAAATGATAAAGAAAAGTATTTATAAAATTATGCACTATGAATTGACGCTGACTACGCACAATCATATAATGTAAGTTATATAAACCTTATTTCCAATAATAGTAAAGAAATAAATATTTTGTTGTTTGCTTAATGAAATTTAAAATCATACCCATACTGATCATTCCTCAGTGGTGGCACGAGATGTCATCCGGAAATGACTATTATTTTTATGATTACATATACTGTGATCTACTTTCATATTTCCTCAGTGGTGGTACGAGATGCCATCCGGAAATATATTTACTGACTTTCCTAATGTGGTGATACGAGATATCATCCCGAAAGTCAATAAAACAGGCTATGACTACCTTTTTTTATTTTTGGCAAGATCTTCAGTATTGCTTTTTTCACTCCTCAGAAACCGGAGTTGGAAACTCATACCTCCCACAAACAGATAATGAGTATGAATATCCTTTAGAAGATTACCCATCGCAGGACGAGGATGATTATACTGAACGAATTAAATCGGTGGTTATGGCCCCTGAAGTCACTTTAGCAGATGAGCCCACTCCAGTACCGGCTGGTACTGATGTGTCAGCTGACATAACTGCAGCAGTAGTTCCAGATGAAATTTTGCCTACCGACCAGGAAGTTACTATTCCAGAGGAAATCCTCTCAATTTTAGGTGAATCAAAAAAGTCTGCTGAACTTCTCGGCAAGAAAATTCCAGGGGAAACCGCTGAACGTTGGGGTAAAATATTATTGGAGGGATTGAGTAAAGAAGTGAAAGAAAATTTACAAAAAAAGATGTTGATTCCAGAAAATTTTCAGTTGGCAAAAGCTCCAAAATTAAATGCGGAGGTAGCCGCAGTTTTGACAGAACAAGCTAAGAATCGAGACAAACGATTAGAGAAATCACAAAATCAACTTGGGTCAGCAATAGCAGGAATTGCAACATTAACTACGGATATAATAACCGATAACTTAGATAAGATGCAACTTATTCAGAAATTATCTGAAATAAATCAATTTATGCTAGACTTACACTACGAAGAAACCATGAATAGACGTCGTCTAATAATCCCAATGTTAGATAAAAGTTTCTTGAATATTATTCAAGGCATAAAACGAGATGTTAACCTATTTGGCGACAATTTAAGTGAAAACATAAAAACAAATAAAACTATTGAAAAATCTGGACAACAAATTAAAAAGCCTGCCTTTCAGCAGCATAACGTGACTTCACGTAGAATTCGTAATCAGTCGAGAAATGTGCGCGCCCCCCAGTCAACAGACGGGTGCGGGGCGCTCGTTCTTGCCACCGACTTCGAGTTTTCGCTACAATCGGGAGCCAGCGTTATCACAGACGCAGTGTGCGCGGAGGCGGCCAGCGACTGCGCCGGCACCAGCGCCGGCACAACGCGGCCGAACGTCTCAGTCGAGCAGGAGTTACGACAGGAGGGGCCGTCGTTAGAGGTACCTCATGCCGGTAGAATTAAACATTTACTACAGAACTGGTTAAGAATTACCACCGATCCTAATGTCCTTTCTTACATACAAGGATATAATATACACTTTAAAATCGAGCCGTATCAATCGAATGAACCAGCGAATCCACCTTATTCAAAATTAGAAATGAACAAAGCAATAGTCAAACTTCTTGACTTGGGTGCTATTAAACCTTGTCTAGAGCGTACTGATCAATTTTTGTCTCCTATTTTTCTCATACCTAAAAGTAATGGCGATTTTAGATTTATTTTAAACCTTAAAAGTTTAAATAAATTCATGAAAACGGCTAAATTCAAAATGGAGGACATTAGGACGGCATCACAATTAATATCAAACTGTTCCTATATGGCAACTATAGACCTCAAAGAGGCTTATTTTTTAGTTCCAGTACATATATCTAGCAGAAAATATTTACGATTCCGTTTTGATGAGTTATATGAGTTCACTTGTTTGCCTTATGGCTTATGTTCGGCCCCTTATATATTCACGAAACTTTTAAAACCTATTCTATCTTATTTACGTAATAAAGGCCATGTAATAGTAGCATACTTAGATGATTTATTATGTATTGGTGACTCATACAATGCCTGTCTCAATACTGTCAATGTCATTATTGATACCTTTAAAAAATTAGGTTTCGTAATTAACTACGAAAAAAGTAACTTGATGCCTACAAACAATATTAAATTTCTAGGCTATATATTAAATTCAAAAGATATGATATTGGAATTACCTCATGAAAAACGAATTAGATTATATGATATGACGGAAAAAATCTCAAAAAAAGCTATAGTAACAATTAGAGAATTTGCAAAGTATGTTGGTACCATAAATTCAGTATGTCTAGCAGTTCGATACGGTTGGTTACACACCAAACGATTCGAGAGAGAAAAATACATTTATTTATTAAAACATCAGGATAATTACGACGCAAAAATGTATATAAATCACAATCTCATTGAAGAGTTTCAATGGTGGAAAAATAAAATTTGGACTGCGAACAACCCAATACGAAAGGGCCACTATTCATTAGAGATTTTTACAGACTCCTCACTTTCAGGGTGGGGAGCTTACTGTAATGGGCAAATAGCACAAGGTTATTGGTCTATTGAAGAGTGTAAAAATCATATTAACTATCTTGAGTTATTGGCAGCATTCCTAGGAATAAAAAGTTTTTGTAAAGATTTTAAAAAATCTGAAATTTTGCTTAGAATTGATAATACCACAGCAATATCATACATAAATAGGATGGGCGGTGTACAATTCCCAAAATTAACTTCTATTACCAGAGAAATATGGTCCTGGTGTGAACAACGAAACCTATTCATTTTTGCGTCTTATATAAAATCTCGAGAAAATACTGAAGCTGATAGAGCATCTAGGGTAACAAATATAGATACTGAATGGGAACTAAGTACAATTGAATACCAAAAAATAACAAGTAAATTTGGGATGCCACATATTGATTTGTTCGCTTCACGAATAAATAAAAAGTGCAAAAAATACGTTTCATGGAAACGAGATCCAGAGGCATTCCAAATTGATGCATTTACAATACGATGGAACTCGTATTTTTTTTATGCATTTCCACCTTTTTCTTTAATAACGAAATGCCTCAGAAAAATTGTGAACGATGAAGCAACTGGTATTTTAGTAGTTCCCTACTGGCCAAGTCAGCCTTGGTACCCAATGTTTCTAGCACTGACATTTTCGGATGTAATGTATTTCCAACCTAACGCAAATCTTTTGTTGTCCCCTTCCAGAACGAGTCACCCTTTATGGCCAAGACTTACCCTGGTGTGCGCAAAATTATCTGGGAGGCTTTCATGAAACAATCTCTCTCCACTAATACCATAGAAATTATGATAAAATCTCTTTCTTTGAGTACATTGCAACAATACGATACTGTATATAGAAATTGGATTAATTTTTGTAATATTAACAAAATAGATTCTTGTAATGTATCAGTGTCAATTATACTAAATTTTCTAACGGAAAGCTTTAATAATGGTGCCAGCTACAGTACCTTAAATACATACAGATCAGCCTTGTCATTAATATTAGGCAAACAATTATGCAATAACGACCTAATATCTCGATTTTTCAAAGGTATTTTTAAAATTAAACCTAATTTACCTAAATATCATAAATCTTGGGATCCGAATGTAGTTCTCTCATATTTAGCTGATCAATATCCTAATGAGACATTAAAATTTGATTGTTTAAGTAAAAAACTCGTGACTCTGCTCGCGTTATCCACGGGACAACGCGTGCAGACATTGTCATTGATTGAAATTAATAATATATTATTTAATGACTCTGGCGCAATTATACCAATCACAGATATTATTAAAACTTCAACATATAATAATAAAAATCCGATATTACATATACCCTTCTTTAAGAAAAAAGAATGTATTTGTCCAGCAAAGACCCTGGCTGCTTATTTAGTTAAAACTCGGGAATATCGCTCTCTACCCAATACCAATAAACTCATCTTGACTTTTAAAAAGCCATACCACAACGCGACCTCTCAGTCAATAAGCCGATGGATTAAGTGTGTACTAAAAGTCAGTGGAATAGATGTAAATGTATATACATCGCATAGTACGCGACATGCGTCGACTTCTGCAGCACATCGTGCTGGACTATCAGTAGATATAATAAAACAGACCGCAGGATGGTCTGGTAATTCTTTATGCTTCGCAAAATTTTATAATTTACCATTACATGATTCTAGGCAGGATAGGGCCTTTGCTGAAGCAATATTCAATCAAGGGGTTCAAATGTAGAACTTTTGTTTTCTATTGTAAGATTTAAGTCTATTCTAACAAATTACATACATATAATTGATTAGATTTATTAATAAATAAAAAACGAATATGAACTATTTTTTGTATGCTTATATTTGTTTAATATATCGTATTGCCATGTCTGTCATTATATTTTTATTCTTAGATTATATCAAATCTTACCTATGAATAGGTAGGATCACTCAGCATATAATCGCTAAACATCTACATGGTATACTTAAATCTTGAGGATGCAACATTGAAGTATAATTTATGGTTAATTGAACTTACCAAGTGAACTTCAACCAAAATTATACGAAATGTTGCATCCGAAGAGATTTAAGGTCCCGCCCTACCCGATCATATGATATATACATACCCGTATGTATAGATCTATATTCATCATATAAATATCTATATTTACCCCCTTTATATGCAGAATGATTCTACTGCTTCCTCTAAAAGAATGAGAACTAGGGATGGCATCGGCCCGGATGTCAAGTCAGTGTAACTCCTCTTTATTTTTTATTTTTTTAATATCTTGTATTTTCTTTATAAAAATAAAATCTAAACTGTGTGCTGATGCGGTATATAAGACAACGGACTACATGGTATACTTAAATCTCTTCGGATGCAACATTTCGTATAATTTTGGTTGAAGTTCACTTGGTAAGTTCAATTAACCATAAATTATAAAGCTGAATGCGAGTTTGTTTGTTGGTCACCTTACAGTATCTTAACAGCTTAACCAATCACTATGAAACTTGGTATACACATACTATATGGGATTGAGAAGGATGTAGGCTACTATTTATCCCGAGGCGAAGGGGATTATTAATAAGGCGGACAACTAGTCCCATTGCTAGCAAGGGTATATTGCTAGGTCAACCTCCACATAATTCCTCCTGGAATCCATCATGCTAAATTCCAGTAAATGGTGTATATATCACTAAATAATCAATATATCATATATCAAGCATATTGTTCAGGTGATAAGAGAATGCCTATCAATGCCTGCTACTCTAAAAATAATAGGTAGAATGGGATTGTTATTAATGAGGTTTGATAGCCCCATTACTAGTAATATATGCTGTCAGGTCGATCTTCATGTGGTTCCCCCTGGAAACCATCATGGCTAATTCTTGTTGAGTTTGTCATAACACAGTGTGTTGTCAACCTTGAGGAAACCATTTATTGACCTCTTTAAATAATGTAAAAATCAAAAAAACGTATGAGGGCTCATTCCAGTATTTGTGAGAGATATACCAGCTTAGGTTTTAGAACACTCATGATGTCAGGGGGGAAGGGATTGTTAGTAATGGGGAGGTTAGTCCCCACTGCTATCAATGTACCCTATTAGGTCGACCTCCACGCGGTTCCCCCTGGAAACTATCGTGACTAATTCATCGTTGATTTCGTCATGATAGGCTAACTGACTTGTCTTTTCATCCTCACTGGTGCCTCATCAGTGTATACCGATAGCGCAGGCGGGGTTACCATTCCATTATCACCCATTAAAAAAAACACTCATGATTCACTACAAACCCCACTAGTTTCAGAATTATCCTGGGGCCCTTAGTCATTAGTGGCCATGAAACGCTTGTGTAATCCAAAATGCTAGATTAGTTAATTAGTTCAGATATTCAATCTGTTTACTCTAATATTAAAAAAATAATGTGTACTTATGAAACTTTGAACCAAACAAACAAAATTTTATTGTACAAATTAGTTTAAAAATTATTCAAAATAACATAATACCAGTATATTGGCAGGTGTGAGTTTCATCTTCTTTGTTTGTGGTTGACTTTTTGTGGACTTGATACTCTTTTTGCTCTGATCCAAGGGTCCATAGCAGAAACAGAGTTTCCTCTCTATTGTCACCTGAGCAATCCTCACTTTATTCAATGACTGTTCTTTTGGGAATGTTAATGTATCTGCTACCTGTAAGTTATGAATAAAAATATATATAGACAACATATATTGGTATATTTAAGATTATTTTATAAAGGGAACCTGGCCCTTTATAAAAGATAAATATATAGCCTATCAGGTATCAGATATTTCAGGATGGGCAGAGCTCACTCTGCCCCTCCTGAAATAATTATTATATTTATTTCCTCATTTAACTGCAGTCTCAATTTAGCTGTTTGTGTTATCCTTGCATGGATTAGGCCACCCTTTCCTTGCCTGGGGATGTAGTAAGAGGTGACTAAATGGTTAAAGAATGGGCAGCAGCATCCCTCTTAAAACGACATCAAATCCTAAATGTGGTTGCCAACCCACCTGCTAAATGTGGCAACTATTGGCAAAATTCCCCTTATAAGGAAGGCTTATATTCAGCAGTAGTCAGTTAATGGCTGAAAGGATGATGATGACTTAACTGCAGAAAATATTTTCCACTTCACGGGATTTACCATACAAGTACACATGTATGATTAATCATTATTAAGTCTGCCTTTTGTACCATACTTTCTTAAGATTAATAAAGTTACTTAAAAAAATACATATATGATCATTATGTACACAGTAGACACAGGGTGGAAACAAAAAGGAATTCTTAACTGTGGTCTTTAGCTTTACAATTTGATAACTACTAATATTAGGGGAGAAAGGGATTGTTAATGATGGAGACTAAGAATCCCATTGCTAGCAATATACCCAGCCAAATCGACCTCCTCGCGGTTCTCCCTGGAAACTATCATGATTAATTTCTTGTGAATTCGTCATGATGGGCTAACTGACCTGTGTTCATGATCATTGATCACCCTTCACTGGTGCTCCGCCAGCGTATCCCGTTAGCGCAGGCGGGGTTACCATTCCATTTTCATCCATCAAATAAAAAACTACTAATATTATAAATATATTTGGCTGTTTATATTCTGTTTGAAATATAAGCTTAAATATTCAATTATATTTAAAATGATTTGACTGAGTTTGGTATACAGATGGATTATATTATGAATTAATACATAAGTTACTTTCTAAAAAAATTTGCTAAATCATGCAGATAAAGTTATCACACAGGTAGTTTTTTTAAAAGGAAATATAGGGTAGATCTTACCGGTTGAAACCCGACATATTTCAAATAGTCATTTAAAGCTTCATATTCTAGACATTTCTTTAGAAAGTCACCAGTAATCGTCCTTAAATCGTAATCATGGGGATTCTCCAAAATACTATTAATATGCCGGAGTAATTCATACAGGATTTCACTGAATTTATCGCTGTCCCGAACACTTTGCTCCACTAAAGCCAAACGCGCCATATCCTCCATTGTTAAAGCAATTTATGATATATTATTCTAACGTAGTTTTTTAGTTAATAATTTATTTGTATTTTTATCAGACTACATTCGGCCGATATCACTTGTCAATTTTTGATTTGTAATGTCGAGGGAAGCGAAACAACCAAACCGATTTTTAAAATCGAATCGATTATTGCCCACATAATGGAATGCGATTAGCGTAGCCTATAAACACCTTGCAATATGCGCGAGTTGTTGTCCCTGAAGTAACTTTTTATCCTTTTTTGCTGAACGCGATGCTATAGTTTACTACTACTGTAGTAAATCTTAACATGGTGCTTATTTTGTCATAGTCGTAGAATACTGACGGATCTGACAAAGATTACATATAAAGATCTATCAGTATTCTACGACTTTGACTATTTCATAACCTAAGCGTTACTAAAAACTTATAAAGATGTCAACATATTATTTAAGAAACTATTATCACAGACCAAAGAACCACTTCTTTGGTCTTTATGCTCCTTACAGTCTGCTATCGCTGTTTGTAGATTTTTTCGCATTTATAATCATCCATAAAAATAAAAAAAGGTATATCATCATCGTAAAAAGTTGTTTAACCATTTTCTTATGATATGCATCGATAAGAAATACTCATTAATTCTAAAGAATGTCAGATTTTACTTTTATTAAGTGCTTGTAATCTTAGCTTATAATATGAATTTTAAATATACGACGTAAGTCTATTACTTTTTGCCTGCAATCGCATCACGTTAAATCCCGCTAGTATATTTAAAATATAGATCCAATATATATATATATATATATATATATATATATATATATATATATATATATATATATATATATATATATATATATATATATATATATATATATATATATATATATACATATAATCGAATATTAGTTGTTCACACACTGAACAACACTAGTCCTCTTGCTGTCAAATTGTGTGTTACTATACTTATAAATGTTGTTGTAGACAAAATAGAAGAGAACTAATTTTATTATTTTGTAAATTATAAAAAATACGATATATTTTGATACAAATTTTGTTACTTTTTCTATACCTTATTAATTTAATTTTACTTCCATTATACTTTGTTAAATGAGATGTTATGTATCTATGTAATTATTGTTGCCATAGCGCCAGCAACGTAGCGCAAACAAACAACTTATATCATATATAATAAAAACACCAACTATACCTCGAGTTTTTATTTAACTTATTGTGTACAATAACTTATATATTAATACATTCAAAGAAAATGTTGGAAACTGGTACGTACTGAAACAATTTTTAAAAAATACCGGCAATGGCCGGCAACCCATAGGGTAAAAATTACGCAAATATATTTTTCAATTTGATAGACATGAGTACTTAGCTGAGGATTATAATTATAAATGAGGTACAGTCATATAAAAAATATTGTAGATTGGAATCAAAATGAGTATGAACCATAGACTTAGTAATCGTATGAGCTGTAAAAAAGATTATCATAATCGATGTAAAATTGATGACGGTATCGCGTAATAAAAAATGCAGACGAATTGAGAAATTTCTCTTTTTTAAGTTACTCGAGGTTGTCGATGTAGGTACGTAGGGTTGATAAAAGGTCACAACAAGTCTGCAACGTAGTCTATTTAGATTTAATTTACCGTGCTAACTTGATAGCTAGACATATTTAGAATCCATTGACTAATAATGCATGCCATGTGGTCCCGGCGTAGAATGGATCGCCCGTTCATTTTCCTCGACTGCTAGTAATATAGCCTATCAGGTCGACCTTCACGCGGTTCCCCTTAGAAATCATCGTGATTAATTATTATGGAATTTGTCATTATGGGCCAACTGACCTGCTTTCATCCTCACCTATTATTCTTCATTAGTGCCTCAACAGTGAAAACCGATAGCGCAGGCGGAAACCGCGAGGAGGTCGACCTGGTTGGATATATTGCTAGCAATAGGATTCTCCGTTTCTAACAATCCCTTTCCCCCCTCCTGTGGGTGTTGTAAGAGGCGACTAAGGGAACTTAATAATCGAACAATGGACAGGAGCGTACCTCTTAAAACATTAGCAGAAGCCAAACTGCATATGCCAACCCGACTGCCAAGTGTGGCAACTACTGGCGGGACCACCCTTACGGGGGGAGGCCTATGTTCTGTAGTGAAAAGTTAACAGCTGATACGATGAACGAACAATCTCTCCTTCCCCTTTCCCCCAGTTTTACTGGTCATAGGTACCATGCTAATGATTTCAATTCCACTCTGCAATATTATAATATGTTTATCTTTTAGAATCTGTGGGAGGCTCTCGCAACTGGCTCCTCCATGCTCGGTACGTGAGGGGCGAGCATGCAATGTGTCTGGAGATGGCCGAACAGTTGCAAAAGCAATGCCAGAACGCACACAGATATGCTCATTTTATAAAGGTACACCTACTTGTAAATCTGGGGAAAAGGGATTGTTAGAAATGGTGACTAAGAGCCCCATTGCTAGCAATATACCCAACCAGGTCGAGGTCGTGAATTTACTGGGTACAGAGGAATAACACCTGAGTCCTCAGGAATGGCAACGTATGGGGGGGGGGGGTATTATGGGCGAAACAGTATACTCTGTTATGTCCATGGTACTGCTCGTGTCTATAGGCGACGGTTACCACTTTCCATCAGGTGGACTGTCAGCTTGTTTGCCATTCTAAGTTGTATAAAAAAAAACCCTAATATTATAAATGTGAAAGTTTTTACTTTACTACTTAAAACTCAACTAGTTTTGTGCCCATTAGTTTGTACGCGTGGATTTTCTTCTCCTTTCTTCAGAAGACGAAATCCAATGAAACATACTACTTCCAGATAGTGTACAAGGATAAAACATGTACCAGTTTTTAAGTTAGACCTTAAGGAGAACAGAACTGTGAAAACCGTATTCAATTCAACGGTATTTAATGTATTTATTTATAATTAAGCTTAAGTTTTTACGTGATATCAAAAAAAAACATACAGACAGACATGTAGTATTTCGAAAACATATTTTAATGATTTTTACCAGTCTTATTTTTTTTTTATATGTAAAGATAATGTTTGAAGGTTGTGTTTGAAGGGTGAAGGGTGGGATATGGCGTGAATTTACAGGGTACAGAGGAATAACATCTGGGCCCTCGGGAGTGGCAGCGCATGGTCATGTCATGGGTGAAACAGTGTGCTCTGTTGTCCATGGTACTGCTCATATCTATAGGCGTTGGTTACCACTTTCCATCAGGTGGGCCGTCAGCTTGTTTGCCATTCTAAGTTGTGTAAAAAAATATAAAGGCCATCTAGTTACAATTTTATTATGTTAGTAAAACCACGCGAAAACGATTGAATGGATTTGAATGAAATTTGGTACGTAGATAGACTATATCTTAACTTACCATTGAAGATACTATACTTATATACAGACTCACAAAGGCACAGCTGCTGGAAACAATAAAAAAACACTATACTATTAAGTAAATTGACTTAACATTACTGGTATAGCTCACAGTCATAAGTCTTTTAAAATAAAAATTATCAGAATCGGTTTTAATTTAGACACGATATCTCGTGGCACGGGGGGTATTGCCAATAGTGGCCATGCTTGACGAGTGGGTTTTTTTTTGATGGGTGAAAATGGTATGATAACCTCGCCTGCGCCAACGGGATACGCTGGCGGAGCACCAGTGAAGGATGACCGATGAGAATGTAAACAGGCCAGTCAACCTATCATGATGAATTCATCCGGGATTAACCATGATAGTTTCCAGGGAGAACCGCGAGGAGGTCGACCTGGTTGGGTATAATGCTAGCAATGGGATTCTCAACTCCATTACTAACAATTGACGGATGGGTTGGCAACCGCTTCCTAAAACATTATTAATTAATAAGTTTCCTTAGTCGTCTCTTACGACATCCACGAGAAAAACACCTGCCAAGCGTGACAACTACTAGCAACCCTATCCCATAAAATAGGGGAGAGGACCTATATTCAGCAGTAGACAGTTAATGGTTTACACTCGTATAATAATAAATAAAAAAATCTAATAAGAGATTGAGTTGAATAGAATGTATCGCTTTTCGTTTAAGAGTATGATTTACATGTTATATATATATATATATATATATATATATATATACTTCTTTAGGGTTTAGTGCTAGCAGATGCAGGACGGTATCAGGAAGCGTTGGAGAGGTTTCACAGCTGCATCAGACTGCAACCACACGACCCAGAGCCTTTGAAACAAGTCGGCAAATGTTTGTGAGTCGAATATTTATTATTAGCAAAATATATTTTGTGTTTGATTGATTGATTGGTTTACCAGTCCTATAGCCCTTAGCGATAGTGAGTTCGAATCTGACCGATTATCTATTGGCATTGAGGGAGTCGCATGTACTCTCAGATATATCATTTGTACATACCTAAAAGCCTTATTCGGGTCCTGGAATTGGCACCAGACAATTCTGAAAATGATATGTGATTATATTATTTGTAATATTTACATGTATTCCTTTAGATTTCGCCAGGGACGTTACCAACTTTCCCTGGAAGCTTATTTAGAAGCTGATAAATTGACAAAACATCCGGATCCAGATACGTATTGTGCTTTAGGTAAGTCTGTATTATATTATCTGTGGTAGCACTAATAAAGTAATTAGGCCTACATTACTCTAAATTGGTAAACAAGCAAATATTTTTTTCTGATGGATGAGAATGGAATCGTAACCTCGCCGGCGCTATCGTTATACACTGATGGGGCACCATGGAGGGATTATAAGTGAGAATAATAAAGCAAATAAGTAGCTCATCGTGAAGCATACACCTGTACACCTGGAATTCAGCACGACGGTTTCCAGGGGGGGGCACGTGAAGGTGGCTTGGCAGGGTTTATTGCTAGCAATGGGATTGGTAGTTCGTCTTACTAATAATCCCATCCCTCCAAGCTAATAATATTAGTATATTTTTAATGTAAAAGGTGTACAATAGATTGTACAATATTATGTTAAAATAATTAGCGGAATGAGCAGACGGGAAGGATTGTCAGTAATAGAGACTAAGGGTCTCATTGGTAGTAATATAGCCAACCAGGTCGGCCTCCATGTGGTCGCCCCTGAAAACCATTGTGCTGAATTCCAAGCATATTCATCACGATGGGCTAACTGACCTGCCTTTTCATTCTCATCTATCATCTCCCACTGATGCCCCGCCTGCGTATACCGTTAGCGCAGGCGGGGTTACCATTCCATTATCATCCAGTAAAAAAAAAAACAGCGGAATGCGCATGGAACTTGGGCGATGCCGAGCGCGGCGTCGAATGGGCACGAGCCGCTGTGCAGGCGGGCGGCGGCGAGAGAGCTGGGGCCTTACTTGCCAAGCTGCTACTGGCCTGTGATGATATGCAAGGAGCACTGAATGCTTACGACCACGCATTATCGTAAGTCATAAGAATAAAAAAAAACGTATTTGTTATCTGTTTATATTTAAAAAAATGTTTTTGTCCACTTTTGACTTCGTACGCCTAGATTTAAAAACATTGAAGTAAAATTTTTTATGCAACTTAGAATGGCAAACAAGCTGACGGCTCACCTGATAGAAAGGAGTAACCGTCGCCTATGACGTACTTACGACATGAGCAGTATCATGGATATAACAGAGTATATTGTTGCGCCCATGATACCTTCCTTTCATTGCCATTTCTGAGGATAATTAAGATAAAACCTACACATTGGAAAATGTGAAACCATTGATAACTCAAAGAATGGGAAAAGCAATTGGCTTGCCTCTTTTTGCAATAATAAATTACTATAATCTTAATTTTTATGTAATTATTTGCCTAAACTATTAATTGGGATCGCTTCTGAAATATTTTCAAGGTATATAGTCATAACACCTTCATTATATCATATCAGCCATTAACTCTCCCTTGCTGAACATAGACCTATCCCATAATAAAGAATTTTGGCAGTAGTTGTCTCGCTTGGCAGGCGAGTAATAATAATAGCTTAATCCTCTGAAATGGTAACACATAAGGAATGCCATGGACGTTGCAGTATATTCTATGATATTTCTGTTCAAGCCTAAAGACAACGGTTACCACGTCCCATCAAGTGGGTTCACAGCTTATTTGTAATATCCAGTTGACAAAAAAATTTAAAGATATTTAAGTTTAGAGAATAACGCTTTAGAATCGACCTCATTGTAATATTTAGGACCCATGCCTGCGGTGCCGATACTCTAGCCGCAGCTGGAGCCCTACGGCTGCGTATTGGCGATCCCCGCCGAGCCTTCCAACTCCTCGGTGCTGCGTTAGCTCAGCAGCCTACACAGCACGCTGCAGCCCTAGCGTTGGCAGCTATGTTGCTGCAACATAAAGATCTGGATGCAGCTCTAGCGAGATTGAAAGCAGCACTAACAGCCCATCCTACCTGTGTGGCCGCTCATACAAACTTAGGATTAGCTTTAATGGCGAAAAAGAAATATATCGCTGTAAGTATTGATGTAGAATTTAAGTCTATGACACACTAAACAAATTTTCATTTTAAACCTCATCACTTGTGTATTTACTTCCCAAATATTTGAGTTGTAGCACAGTATCCACATCAGCCGTTAACTGTCCACTGCTGAACGTAGTTCTCCTTCTATTGGGTGCTTTTGCAGTAGTATCAACTATTAGCAGATGGATTGGCATAAAGTACTCTAAGGGAACAGATATGAGTGATTTGAAATTTCAGGCCTTGACATGTCTCCAACGGGCAGTCTGGGCGGCTCCACTCAGTGCAAGAGCTGCCCATGACCTGGGTCTAACTTTGCTGATGTGTAAGAGACCTACTTCAGCATTTTGCAGACTAGCGGCAGCAGCTGCGCTGCAACCTTCTCAACCGTACACGGTAAGCTGTAATGAGATATTTTGTTGGCTATTATTATAATACTTTTGCGGAATGATTAAGTGCAGGTTTGCGACTCTTTTAATGTTGTTATTTGGTTTCGATTCAAAAAGAAAAAAAAAACATTAACAAAACTTTAAATAATATACTAAAAATTAATATGAATAACACTATGATAGGCAAATAAAGGCACGCGATTCATTGTAAAATACTAAAAAAGAAATAAGGTAACCAAAAGTCCCAAACTACAAATGAAATAAAAAGACAGGAAACCGGACAGGTGCAAAGTATAAGGTAATACCTAGATAAGGTTTTGGCATGTAAAAAAAAACAATATTTAATTGTGACAAAGTTAATATAGGACTAGACGCTTCCTGAAAGGGAGCTTTAATGGTAGCAAAAAAAAAAAATTGTTCAAAATTGGTATGTGAAGTTAAGTTTCGCGTACTAAATAAAAAAAAATTGTGAATTGTGAAATACCCTCCTCTTTTTTTAAGTTACTTACGAGTAAGAATATAAAAATGATGACGTATTCTAAGCTACTTCACCGTCATCATCATCATATGAGCCGTTAACTGTCCACTACTGAACATAGACCTAAGCTACTTCTATCTATCCTATTTAAGAGCTGCGCTCTTGTCGGTGGAGCTCTTGCCACTCACTACCATTCTCAGCGAGTCTCTTCGCCTCTTGATACGACACGCCACCAACTCCTTCCTTGATCTGCCCGATGTAACTATGCCTTGGTCTCCCTCTTCCCCTCCTTCCTTCTATCTTACCTTCTATTATAACGCTCAATAGTTTTTATAATTTGTCTCTTTTCTTTATCCCTAAGCTACTTAACCACCTAAAATATGGATCTGAATAATATTATCATTACTCTACAAAATTGGCTCTAGTTTGGATGTTCCGGGTCATATCTCCAGATATACATTGTCTGATTCTTCATAATACAGGAGATCCTAGCTTGAGATGGTCCTTAAACCAGGATACATGGTACAATAAATTTACTGGGTACAGAGGAATAACACCTGAGTCCTCAGGAATGGCAACGCATGGGTGGTATCATGGGCGAAACAGTATACTCTGTTATGTTCATGGTACTGTTCATGTCTATAGGCGACGGTTGCCACTTTCCATCAGGCGGGCCGTCAGCTTGTTTGCCATTCTAAGTTGTATAAAAAAAAATAATGCTACAAAATCACATCATCTTGTACCATTTATTATTATTACACTTTTTACCAGGTACTCCTCATAGGTGTGGCTTTGGAACGTCTCGGGGACAGCCGAGCTGATGCAGCCTACGTCCGAGCGATGGCATTGGCCCCAGAAGATCCCCTTGTCAGGCTAAACTTAGCTGGGCGTCATGCGAGAGCCGGTCGACTCACTGAAGCTGTGGAAGAGGCCGGAGTTACAGCAGAGTTGTTGAATAGAGAAGAGAAAGCTGATGGTCAGGTAGGACAATTTTTTTTATTACAATAGAAAATTTATAATAATTTCTTACGCCTCTTTTTCTTTAACTGACTTCAAAATGAAAGTAGTTTTCAATTCGGTTGCATTTTTTATGTTTGTTACCTCATAACTCAGACAGTAGTTCACCAGAGGGAGACTTTGTACAAAAGTCGATTGCTTGGGTACCTCTGTCTCATTCGTGTTTCAACCGTAAAGCAGTTGTGTTTGTATGGCTGTGTTTCGGTTTGAAGGGTGGGATATGGCGTGAATTTACTGGATACAGAGGAATAACACTTGAGTCCTCAGTAATGGTAACGCATGGGGGGTATCATGAGCGAAACAGTATACTCTGTTATGTCCATGGTACTGCTCATGTCTATAGGCAACGGTTACCACTTTCCATCAGGTGGGCTTATATAAAATATATTGTATAAAAAAAAAATACAAAACCGATTTGGAAAATTCTTTTTTTGTATGATAGGATATACTTTTAGATTGGTTCCATAGAAATTATACCAAAATCCATTTAGTCGTGTAATTTTTAAATAAAAATTACTGGTTTTGTCACAATTGAAGCTTTTTTTTTGTGGGACACAGTCTTTTTTATTATAGAAATTGTTTGCTTCAGATAGGAAATTATGAATAGAAATGTCTACTTTCTGGACCATTCGGGACCCTTAATCTCAAGCGGCTGTAATACGAGCAATTAAGTGTCCCATTTATTAAAAAATAATGTGATTGTATTGTTTTCAGTTGGCAAGTTCTTTGGCATCCCTTTTGGCATTGTTGCGCGACGCTGGCGTTGAACTGTCACAGTTGCCAAGCGTTCCTGACGCGAACACACCGTTGCCTATTGAGCCAACCAACGAAGTTGCCACGCCTGATGAAGAACGTCTGGCACCTGACGAAGTTTAGTTATAGAACCAGCTCCCCGCCAACCGTTTGATGTTACATCAATTATGCTTCAAAAACATCAAATTATCCAATCAAATCAATGAAAATGTATTTTCGAGAGATGTCTAAAATGAAAGTATTAAATTCATTTAGCATTTGGATAGATAGATAGATACTCTTTATTGTTTCCTCCAAAAGATTACAATAGTAAACTTATTATAAATATAAATAATTACAAGAAATAATCACAATGAGAAAACAATGGGCGGCCTTATCGCTAAAAGCGATCTCTTCCAGGCAACCTTTGGATGGAAAGGAGTATTTATAAACAGTTTTTTTTGAGGCACGATGAAAATTCTATTTGATTGATATTTTATAGGATTCATACTACATATTTACGACTTCTAATATCCCATATTCAGAAATGGTCTCGTTACCATTTTATTATACGTATGTAAATATTAACCTTGGGTAAGCAATATAATATAAATAAAATATGATTATAATATGCAATGCAATCATGTTTTTATTGAGAGTGTTTCTCGTGACGTTATGTGTTATAGTGGTAAGTAAAATCTAGGATTAAAATCGTTAGAAATTTAATTTCATATTTTTTACTAATTCTACACATCATCATTATACCATATATGTTTCTGCCTACCCTAGTGGGAGACAGGCGTGACAGTTACGTATGTATGTATGTATCATTCTGTTAGTCATCTCATTGTTGAATATAGGCCTCTCCCTAAAGGTAGATTTTGCCAGTATTTGCCTTGCATAACAGGATTGGCAACGGCAATTAGGCTTTGGTGATGTTTTAAGGACGCTGCTGTCTGTCTCTCGACCGTTAAGTTCCCTTAGTCGACTTACGACACCCACGGGAAAAAAAGAGGTAGCCTATGCTATGCCGAGACTATACGGCCGTTTTACAAACAGTAGAAACTATTATATCTACCTGATATCCATAGGGAGTTTTTATTAATGAGGCTAGTTATGCCATATCTATGTTCATGCATGCAGTGCAATAAAATTGTTGGTTTACTAAGAATTTTAATAATTGTTAACTCTGTTAGTGGCCAAGATACCAATATAGTTAATTTCCAGTGTATACGCCATCCTAGACGACCTCAAATATATTGCAGGGTGTCAGTGGATGCAAGCGGTTCAGGACTGTTTCTCATAGCTGTCTATGGGGGAGGCCTATGTTCAGCAGTGGACAGATAAAGGCGAATATTATGTTGATTAATTTAAAATATTAGGTTACAAAATAAATTTCGAGAAATGACACCTCAAAATCGTCCCTAATATTGTAGATAGAAGGCAAGAATCGTACTGCCAGTTTGATAGTGCTGCCACCCCTGGTACTTGGATATGACGACCTCCAAGAAGAAGAAGAAGCTACAGAAGTGGATGGAGAAACTAATAAACTATTACAATTAAGCAATACGTTGAATGAATCAAACGAGGAACCTGTTCGTGTAGAGGAAACTACGAATGCACCAGCAAACAAAGAAAGTGATGCAAAAGCAAAACCAATTTCACGTGCGCAATCGAATAATAACGACAGGTCACAGAAACCATGTCCATGTCAGAACCAATATGAATAAAATATTGTGAATTTAGTTCATGTTGTGATTTGTTAATGTAACCTCACAGGAAGTTTATCAGCTATTTCCCGCGGCTCTGCCCGCGTGAATCATATAAAGTATCCCATTTGTTCGCCTAGGGTTCAACCTAACTGTATACCAAATTCCATTTAAATGCATAAAGCCGTTTAAACGTGATTGAGAGATAAAGACGAAGAACATTTTCATAAACTTTAATATTTATAATCTTAGTAACGTAGGAATATTTGAAATGTACTTAATATATTATGGGGAGTGTTTTGAGCAATTGTTTGGATTGATACCTGTTACTGATTTTCATCACCGTACAACCCACCATAAACTAAAATTCCATCCCAACCATCTAGATGAGTGGCGATCCTACACTGTGTTTTTCAAGGCAGTATCTTTCACGCATAACCACGCTTTGGAATCAAATTCCAAACGAGCGGGGGGAAAGGGATTGTTAGCAATAGAGTTTGACAGCCCCATTGCTAGCAATATGCCTTATTAGGTCGACCTCCACGTGGTTCCCCCTGGAAACCATCGTGAACAATTCTTGTTGAATTTGTCACGATGGACTAACTGACCTGCTTCATACTCACCTATCATCCTTCACTGGTGCCCCGCCGGTGTATACCGATAGCGCGGGTGGAGTTACCATTCCATTATCATCCAATAAAAAAAAACCAAACGAGCATACGGCTCACCTAATGGTGAGTGACTACCGCCACCCATGAGCACCCGCAACACCAAAGGAATAGCAGGTGTGCTGTCGGGATTTTAAAATGGAATATGCTCTCCTCTTGAAGGTAATGATGTCGTATAAGGTTATGGTGTGTAATATATAGTAATATCTGTTGTGTTTCAGTTTGAAGGGTGGGATATGGCGTGAATTTACAGGGTACAGAGGAATAACACCTGAGTCCTCGGGAATGGCAACGCATGGGGGGTATCATGGGCGAAACAGTATACTCTGTTATGTCCATGGTACTGCTCATATCTATAGGCGACGGTAACCACTTTCCATCAGGTGGGCCCTCAGCTTGTTTGTCATTCTAAGTTGTATAAAAAAAATACACATATTTTTCAATTATTTATATTGAAATTATCACCATCTTAAAACCAGCACTGAAGGGTGTCAACGTTACACGTACAACACAATGATTAAAAACGATTATTTGACACAGATCGGAATATTGGACAGCTAACAAATAAAAAAAAAAAACAAAGCCGGTCTGTCGCCAATGCGGACTTGCCTAAAGGCACTTGAGGTCAAATATTTATTTGCTTGGAGTTACAACTTGGCAAGTCATTTACATTAAAATATTGCAAAACAATAATGGCTAGTGATCAATTATTATAAATATGAAGTTGGTTATTTTTTTTTTGTTGTTTAATGAAGGCATACGGCTTGCCTTATATAAGCGCTTACCGTCTATATAGGCGTGTAATATCATTCAACGTTTTTCCCAATACGAAGTTCGATTACAATTCTTTTTAAAAAACTCAAGGTCAACGAACTCCATTTTTATAATAAACAATCAGAAATCCAGTAAATATATCAAAAATAATAAATTAGCATTATATAATTATAAAGTACTCCCAAAATACAGTTACAGCAGACCGGCTTAAGGCTACAAAATTATTGCTCGATATCAAATTTATTTGCATTATTAGACAAATTAATATTTTATAAAATAATTGTTACACATTTATTTACCTAGACTATGTTCAGACTAAATTAATTTACATATAGAAAATGTAATATATAAAATTCTTTCGATTTAATTTTTTTTTTTTATGATTAAGTAAAATGATTCAGTCTGCACTTAGCCTCACTGTATAGTGCCGATTGTGTATATTTGTAATACAAGATCTATTGTTCAAGGCGAAGCCGATATATTATATTATGCAGTAAATCAAAGCCGGACATATATATATATATATATATATATATATATATATATATATATATATGTCAGACAATGCGGTAATTTAATTTTTAGTAACAATTACAAATGAGATACGTCAAAAAGTGGTCTATATCCCATATAATTATTTTGTTAAAAAAATCATTAATTAAAAAATAGATTACAAAAATAATCATCGAAGTCAGTATAGAATAGGTAAAGATATCCTGTGATGGCCGCATTAATTTTCTTTTATTGACAAATAATTTAACAGTTTAATTTTATAAAAATCGCTAAATGCAATTAATATTAAAATTTATTGTATTTATTATTTTTGGCAATGGTATAAAGACTAAATTGCAATGTTACAAATAAATGACATAAAGACAGACGATAGACCACTTATACGACGGATTTTTGAAATTATGTGTTCTCACTAAAGTACGATTTACACCTAACGGCGCGTCTCGGAGTGCACTGAAGCGCTTTTCCAAAATGGAAAAATAAATTCGTATCTTTATAGTTCCAAATCTGATTTGAAGCTATACAGTCAACTGGATTCATCATTTATATAAGTATGTATCTATATAATTTTATCTTTGGCTGTTAACTTGGTTATACTCTGGGTTCGTTGCACGCGTCCGTGTAGCCTAACTTCAGGCTGCAGCTGAAAATTAGTGCTGTGCTTTTAAGCAAAACTATCACTGAGCTGTAGCCTATTTGGTACACTGCGACACTCATGGTGAAAACATATTTTCGTATTTTATTTTTTGTTTTATATTAAAAAAAAAGTGTAATTAAATTGATGGTATGAAATTGTTAATTTACGTGTGTCATAAATGGCTCAAATGAAGTGTTTATCTATCTATCTTAGTTGTATACATTTCATACTATTTAATTTTACATTATAGTAAAGGGACTTTCAAATATTTTTTTTTACAATAATGTAAAATTCATAAAAATGCGGTTCAACGTACTACGACCGTTCGGTGTAAAACGTACTAAATGAGTTTTTATATTGTGAATGGATGACAAAAAAAAAAAAAAAAAAAAAAAACTATTTTTAAAACCGTTTCTATGTTACAATGGTACATTGGAATTATGTATCTTTATATTTTTAAATATAAATCTAAATGAACCTCTGAATGGGAAGATACTGGAAGTCTCTATAAAGATGTATTTCAGCGCTCTAACTAAACAATCCCCTTTATATTTACACACTATTAACATAATAAACTAATGTCAAGTTATTTTTTTTTAATAACACCTCATTCTTATTTTTATTACACTCTCTTGCTGATTTGACACATTGCAGGGTTGGCAAATATTTTCGTTACTTGACATTTTATTAGTTTGCATGGCAGTTTTGACGATCACAACGGCACAGCGGTTTGTAACACCGCATAGATGCGGTCACAGTTCGAATATTAGTTTAGTCACTAATGACTTTTTCTTGTCTCGAGTCTGGGTGAGTTGTTCTCAAATACTCTTAATATTCTTTTATTTTCATAACAGAGTATACTCCGTATTTAGGTAGTTTAAGGATATATGAAAACAAGGGTACTCCTTTATTAAAAAAAAAAAAACCTTCATCAACATTTGGTGGGTATATCTGAGAGTCCCAACATCCGAGCCAACTTAGAAAAATTTATTTAACCCTTAAATACCTGAAGTTTCAAATTTGATACCGGGGTTTGCATTGTTTCATTGTTGAATAAATTTAAATATTTTGATTACCGTAATGCCTAAAGTATCAAAAATGATACCGAGTGTTTTTTTTTTTTTCAAAATAAATATACATAAATATGTTTTGATTTTTTTACTATTTTTTCCCATTAGTAAACACAGTAAAGGGTACACTTATATATTTTTTAATTTAAAAAATCAGGCTTCAAGGGTTAAACTAAAGAGAATCGAACTCGAGACCTCATTAAATTCTAAGCACTGCACCATTGAGTTCGTTATTAGGTTTAATTGTTAGTACATGTAGATTTCATTGATATTGTATATCAATAGGGTTTTATTATATTATCATATATATATTTGATTATAGATATGACCATATATATAAGATCGTAATTACATAGTAGAAAAAAGGAATCGTTTATCATTATCATGCCAGCCGGTTCACTGCTGAACATAAGGTTTTGCCAGTAGTTGCCACGCTTAGCTGGCGGATTGGCAAGCTCAGTTACAATTTGGAGATATTTTTAATGAGGGACGCTGCTGCCCATCCCTCAACTTCCTTTAGTCGCTTCTTACGACACCCACAGAAAAGGAACGGGTAGACTATTCTATGCCGGGACAACACGGCCTTCGTTTATATTATACAAGCGACACGTCCCGGCTTCGCACGAGTGTACATTATCGCATTAGAAATCTCTTAAATTATCAGTGTTTCTCTTCTATATTATGCATGTATTATATATACAAACGCCCCCCTTGAATCACTCTGATAAATAAAAAACCGCATCAAAATCCGTTGTGTAGTTTTAAAGATCTAAGCATACATAGGGACAGAGAGAGGGGAAGCGACTTTGTTTTATACTATGCAGTGATTTTCAATTAAATTTTATCAACTTTTTTACTACTAATGTAATGTTTTTAGATTAAAAATATATAGACTCATTTATATATATGGTCCTATAATATAATAGTGCATGTGGTGTTCGCGTATAAAAGATTTTTACATTAGGCAAAATTATTTTTTGTGTTATTAAGTTGCATGTAAAATGTAAAAGTTGTATGTGAACCTTATTAAATAAATAAATAAATAAAATATAAAATACATAATATGATAATATAATAAACGGCTATATGAATATATGTGTTTATATTCGATTTGCACAACCCTCTTTCACACCACAAAAAGTACAAAAGTCCTTCCTTAAGCTTACACACTACGCCTTTATTTGGCCTTAACCTCTGAACACTATCCAAACTTCGCCTTCTATATTTAAATATTATTTTTCTATCTTTATAAATGCACTTCTTGATAAATTATAGAAAATACGGCGGTAAGTAGAGAAAGTATGTAGTTAAAAACTGGCTGAAAATAATGTTTAGAGAAAAAAAAAACATAAATGCAGGTGAAGTCACAATAAAAATTGATTAAAGAAGTTTCAAAATTATCGGGGTGAACGCCACAAAAAAAGAAAAAAAAAAAAGTTTAAAAAAAAAAAAAAAAAGATAAAAATGTGATAAAAAAAATATGACAAGATTTGTATTTCGAAACGACAAGTTTAAAGGAAGGAGTTATGCTAAATCTTAACCCAGTGGTACTATAGGCGAAACTGAATGTAAAGTGAAAATAGGAGAATAATTTTATAACCTTTTATTGTGACGTAAGAGTTTTTTTTTTAATTTATTTCTTTACTAATTGCATCCTGGAGCTTTGCTCACATAAATTACATCAATTTGCTACACTGTGTATAATTTTGATATACTGGTTTGTCTGTATTTTAAATTTTATTCAAGTCTATTTTTAAACATGATTGAGGAACAAACATTTTATCATCTTTTAAAAATTGTGAGAATGTTCATCAATACATCACTGGATTCCAGGTTATTATATTTGTTTGTTGTATTTATATAATATGCCTTTATTATACATGGAAACATTATAAATGATATAGTTTTAACTTCGTTTCACCCAAGCATTTTTAAATGAAGAAAATTAAATAAGAAAATAGTACTAAAAGGTAGATAAGGAATTATGTTAAAAACAAATAACTATATGTATCGAATACTCGAAAATACTGAAACAATGATGGCATTGCTTATCTCACACTTGGACTTACTATATATTTCTTTGGTGTTGTGTCATAATGATTATCCATTGCTATTGGACGCTATAAGAATGGCGCACTATTCACCTACCAACGCTCTGCGTTTTGTGTTCGTAAAGCTTAAACGAATACTGAATCGATCAGCAATTTACAGATTATATAAAACATCGTCGCGGACACAAAACGCAAAGGGACTACTTAAAACAACTATAATTCTCAGTACTAATCTTACATTGCCATATATTTACATAACCCTATAGCTATTTACACAAATGGAATCATTGAGATCATTACAATATTACTTACAAAGTAAATGACGTCACGAGGTTAGCTATAGTAATTAAATAAAATAATACTTTAGAATAGACTGGTTTGGTACACGACGGGTACACTAACAGTACCATACATGAGGTAATTGTCTACCGCAATGGTATTCTGTAGTCTAATATTTTGGGACATATTTCTTTTTTACATAATGTATTGTCACATTGTGATTACAAAAAAAATATATACACGGTTTTCTATTGCACAGTGTCAACAAAAAAACAAGTAAAAATTTAAACGAAACAATTGCACTAATTATATTAAAAAAATAATAATTCTAAAGCGAATTCCGAATTTGAAATAACGATAAAACATAGTCATGTCACCTGTAAATGTGACACCTGTCAAATTCAAAAGTCAAACTTAACTTTTTTATTGGACATGTCGCATTGGAATAAAAATGAAATGCCATAATATGTCGGTGGACGAGTGGGCATTCAACCGAACCTCTCTTTGACGAGGAACATGAGCTTTTTCTTGCCCTTGTACTTGAGTTTGATCTCCTGCAACAGCGCCGCGAACTGGTGCGGACCGTCATGGGCGAGTGCGAACGTGTCACGTGCTTTGCCTGAAAAGCAATATAAAAATAGTATAAGTCAATAATACAATTAATACATGTATATCGTAGCTAGACATCAAGTTTACGTTTAACGAGTCAGATGAAAATCAGATTATTGGAGTTGTATTATAATTCTGTAAAACAAAATTAAAATTGAACTTTGATCGTAAATGTTTATTGTAACGCAATGAGAGGTGTCAAATAAAAAAAATTACTATTTCTTTGTATAATGCTGAATGTCCATTATACTAAGTCATAAAGAGAATAGAATTCATACACCAATTGTTTAATCGAACAGTAATAATAAGTGCTACGTAATCATTTTTATCGCCTTATTCTCAAACTAGAATTTCCTGTTTTATATGGGATCAGCAAATGTCTGAAAATCAGGATACTCAGACAAGGGATAATTACGACCCCCGTTACGCAAAGCAATGAAACCAAATAAAAACCTAGAATAAAATTATTTAACTATATATTATTTTTCAGAAAACGGAATGTCAAGATCGACTAATTTGCTAAATACAGAAAAACGATATACTGAAAGACTGGCTTGTCGAAAAGGTGTTGATGAATTCATAAAATATAAATAGTCCCTAATTTATTTATTCACAGGAAACCGAGGGCTACACTAGAGGGAATATTAATAATATAATTACAATTTGAAGTGGCATATTTATTAATGTTATAAATGAATATTACTGTTAATCATTTTTATTATTATATAGAAAATTAGCTGTATTCTAGAAATTAGAATAGAATACATTTTACAATGGCAACGGCATAACCAACTGAAACTGGACGTGTAATTTTGTAAATTATGAATAAATGATCTGTATCTGCGTATAGTTACCGAGAAAGTCGACGAAGTCCGCGTAGTGCCTGGGCGAGATGTGCGCGAGGCGCGCGTGCGTGGTGGAGGCGTAGGCCCGCAGCGCCGCCTCCAGCAGCGGCCGCAGCGGCGTCGGCGGCCGCGGCGGCGCCGGCCGCGCGCGCGAGCACCCCGCCGCCGCCACGCAGCACCGCCGCAGCACGTCCGACTGCACGCCACCAATCACAATCGTCACACTACTGTCGCTCGTCGCCCTCATTCGAAAGGCGGCATTACGTACCCAACAGCTAATACTCCCTTTTCCACAAACAATCACGCATTTATTGTACATCAAAATTATCTTCACCTACACATTTATGTTACTATGGCGAACCAAACAAATATATAATAAAAAAAAATAATGACACTATTAGCAATAATAACATTAGTGTGAGGAAGAAGTTTTGATCGATTACAATATGGCAGTTTATAAGTAAAATTGTCATTGTGTGTACCACAAATAAAAACTGCTTATAATTAAACCATAAACAAAACAGTTTGATGGAAAATTATGCAACCATGAAAATTTCCATTATCACAATAAATCAACTTATAAATAGTTAAAAACTGACCAGCACAGGGGCACACTGTACGTTCTTGACGAGGAGCGGTAACATCGCCTGCAGCTCGGCGCGACCCAGCGAGTGAGCCAGCGCAACCGCCCAGTGGATGTCTGCGATCGCAGGATGGCTGTCCTGAAATACAATAAACACAATCATTATAAAATTTCTTTTACATCTAGATTGATATGAAGATTTTTTTTTACAACACGGGCACGAACATGCGGCTCATTTGATGGTAAGTGACTACCGTCGCCCATGATCACCCACACCAACGGCAGGTATGCAGCCGACTTTTAAAAAAGGAATATGCTCGTTTCTTGAAGGTTATGATGTCGTATCGGTTCGGAAATACTGCTGCTGGAAGTTGATTTCAAAGAGTGGTTGTGCGTGGAAGAAAGTGCTATGAAAAACGCACGGTGGAAGACCGCCACTTGTCTTGATATACTGTTCTTGGTATTATCACTGTAAATTATACAATATTATAGCCATATATGTGATGTAGCGCGCGACGGCGAACAGCTGGCTGGGGGCGAACAGCTGGCTGGAGGCGAGCGTACCTGGTTGTAGTGCAGGTGCAGGTTGCGCATGGCGAGCGTGGCGAGGCGCATGGCGCGCGCCGGCTGGCCGCGCTGCTCCATGTAGCGCGCGACGGCGAACAGCTGGCTGGAGGCGAACAGCTGGCTGGAGGCGAGCGTACCTGGTTGTAGTGCAGGTGCAGGTTGCGCATGGCGAGCGTGGCGAGGCGCATGGCGCGCGCCGGCTGGCCGCGCTGCTCCATGTAGCGCGCGACGGCGAACAGCTGGCTGGAGGCGAACAGCTGGCTGGAGGCGAGCGTACCTGGTTGTAGTGCAGGTGCAGGTTGCGCATGGCGAGCGTGGCGAGGCGCATGGCGCGCGCCGGCTGGCCGCGCTGCTCCATGTAGCGCGCGACGGCGAACAGCTGGCTGGAGGCGAGCGCGCCGCGGGCCGCCGCGCCGCCCACGGCCGCGCACGCCGCCTCGAACGCGCCCGCCGAGCCCTCGCACACCGACAGCGCGCTCAGCGCACAGCCCGGCGGGTCCTGCGCAACGGACCATATTATAGGATTGTGTGAAAAGATGCTGCGTAAACACCCATATTTTGTGTACCGCCCGGGTATTATATAGAAGAACCCTAACTCGTTTATAAAATAACGACAAAAGTGCAAACACTGTATGCCTCTACTAGTACAGCTTCATTATGAGAAAAGAATAAAAGATGTAATCAGTTCAAGAAATGCATGTCACGACATAGTCCCATACAAAAACTGGCGAGCTACTTAATCTAAACATTAAACCCCTGTAAACTCTGAGTCAACATGAGATGTCGATCAATTCCTTTGAAGATGCTTACTTTAGCCGCGCACTGCAAGGCGAGCGTTCGTGCGCAGGCGCTGAGTTTCTCCTGCTGCTCGAAGGTGAGGCCGAGACGTAGTGCGGTAGCGTGCGACATGGCCGCTGCCGCCACCGGACCCGTCGCTTCCGTTGGTGTGAACAGCTCGTACCTGGGTAATGGAATAAGTACTATTTAAAATTGGAACAATGCTTATCGAAATAAATAGTTTAAGAAATGTTATAGTAAAGAAAAAAATATATTGCTTTTTTTCTCGTGTTCTTTTAATGTCAATTATTTATACATGAAATTCTTAACAAAAGAAGGTTTAAAGTGCTCTTTTAAAGCACGAAGCAAGTGACTTAAATTTTTGAATGATATAGTCAAAGTTAAAATGAGTAATCAATTCAGATCCTCTAGATAAGTGGCAAGTGAATTTATCAATGGAATTGTTATTGCTAGGGAGTCCATGAAATAAAATAAGATAGCAACGTTCGATATCTTACTACTATAGGGCTGAAGATATATCTAAAACAACATACATTTTTTTTTTAATTTAAAATAAAAATATATACATAACATATGTTTATAATAAGTTCAGAAGTTTAGATTGCGATTCATATTAGGGTAATTTATTAAACTATAAGTACTGTATTACAATGAAAAATAATTTTCTTCCTCAAAAATGCATTACAATTGTAATAAAATTGGCTTACCAGTTTTGCATGATAGACAGCAACGCGTCTAATCCTAGTTCTGTGGCGCAGGTGACCAGCCAACGGACCATTTCTCGTCGCCGCCAGTTTACAGAAGATAACGTCATCCGCAACACCTGCAATATTTGAATATTGTTAGTGAAATAGAATCTTAATCCTCGTAACGTAATGCGCACGTGCATAGATTTATTTTCAATTATCGTACTGCATTATTCATTGTAGGGCTAAACTTAATTTGTGTACTCAGTAATTATACCAGTTTAATAAATTACAGTCCACTCATTGCAAACCCTGATCGTATGGTCCTTCGAGCCGGATCTCAGGGAGTATATGGTCTTATAAGCCATCTAACTGTCTGCGGGGGAGGTCACGGGGCGCGAGTCCGCTCTTCAGCGTCCTGAGCCCCGTGACCTCCTCTGCAGATAATTAAATGGCTTGACCAGTAGGTGTATTATCAACTGGAGCAGATAATGCTGAATCCTAATGCACAATTTAGATCAAATGATGTGCGTTAGAGTCAATGGACATTTTTATAGTTTGTTGTTGCACAGCATAAGAAATTTATTGATAAAATCGTACGAGGTTACCGGTAATTTTTTTTAGAATTAATAAATAAATAAAATTTAAATTTAGAATGTGTTGTGACCTGATGGTATACTATCTTGAATTACGGATTGCAATTAGCCTGCACTGAAAGCTGTGTTTTTAACAGCACAAGAGGCAAACCAGCATGCGACTCGCTTGATAGTAAGTGACTATTGTGGCACTACATTATAAATTGGCCTTTTAAAAAGGAATATGCTCTTGGAGATTACGAACGTTAATTTCAAATTCTATCTTATTATATAGAATAATGATTCATCGTAGTGCAGAATTGTCGCAGCAGGACACGTGCATACTATTGAAACTTCTTTCCATGATTGACAATGAAACTTCTGGCCATAATGTAAATTTAAGTCTGGCCACATATATATGTTTTTGTTTCTATTCAAATGGTTGCCTCGTCTTGTATCTACACGTACTATATATATTATTGTTGTAAAGATTATTTTTCACTGTGACCCTGTACACATACCTGGAGGCCGAGCTCGAAGGCGGCGGCGAGCAGGTCGCGGTGGTGGTGCGGCGCGTCGGGCGGCGCGGCGTGGCGCAGCGCGTCCTGCGCCAGGCGGAACAGCTGCGCCGCCGAGCGCACGTGCCGCTGCGCCGCCGCCAGCGCCGCGCGCAGCCGCGCCGGGCTGCCGCGCGCCGCGCCTGCACACGCACACACGCACACCTCGCGTCACACGCGCTGCCCTCACACCTACCAGTCCCACTGATACCAATATACCCTGTCAGGTCCACCTACTCGTGGCCTCCCATGAAAAACATCGTGTTGAATTCCAGGTGTATTCACGATGGACTAACTGAACTGCCTTTTCAGTCTCATCTATCATCCCCTACAGGTGCCTCGTTAGCACATACAGTTAATGCAGGCGAAGTTATCATTTCATTATCGTCCATTAAAAAAAAAACAAGACATTGCGATGCACTCTAAGACACTATTGAGATTTATCTCTTCAAATTACAAATATTTAAAAAAAATTAAACATAAGTTCGTACCTAGTAGAGCGCTGGCGAGCGCAGCTTGCTGTTGCTCGGCGTGCTGCAGCGTATGCCAGGCGCCGGCACCAGCCACACCGGCCGCGCCGCCCGCTAGCGCACCGCCGCCCGCTAGCCCCGCGCCGTCCAGCGCGTACGCCTCCTCGACCATCGGCAATCTGTACCGTACACGCTACATTAATACCACCATACAACACAAGCAGAGTATTCTCAAATCAATAGCTAGTTCAATCATGACAAAAGACTTCAACAGCGAAATGTTTGGTAGACACATTTGATAGAAAATATTTTTCATTAGGAATTTTTTTTGCTTCATAGAGAAACAAATTGAATTATTATAAAATTTATGTGGAATTAATAATGATAAGAATAGACAGTAAATATTAGAATTAGATTTATCCAAATCGTTTCAGAATCAGTAACAAATACAGACGAATTGAGAAACTACACATTTTAAAAGTCGTGTAAAAAGGAGTTTAGAATCGACAAGCATACTAGTATATTGTAATACACATACAAAAAAAAAACACAAATGAGAACCGGAAACTTTATCACGGAAGTGGTTTAAAAATGAGATGAGTAAATAAAGGTTGTAATAATGTTGTACTGGCCTCATGGCGCGCAGGCCGACGCGGTAGGCCAGGTCGGGGTCGGTGGGCAGCAGCGCGAGGAAGAGGAAGCGCGCGAAGGTGTGCGCGGGCGCGGCGCGCGGGTGCACGCGCGCGCCCAGGCACGACGCCGGCCCGCCCGCCAGCAGCGCGCGCGCCACGCGCCCGCACACGCCGCCCGCCGCCTCGCCCTCCACGCGCTGCAGCTGCGCTATCAGCCGCTCCTCCTGCACCGCCCACCACACCGTCAGCCCCACCCGCCATCCAGCGGACACAGCCGAGGTGCGTCCACGGAACCCACGCTATTCCCATCTCTTACAAACCGTAACCCTTTCAGACCCAAGATTTTTTTCATTCAGATTAAATACATTTTCGTGTTTTGGAGCCGAGCCATCTTGCCGGCACGCACGAGACTACTGCACCACCTAACCGCTAAAATGATTTCTTATTGGCTGATTTAAAATTTCACTATCGTGTTACTTCGATATCGTCTTAGCTTCGTGCGTAAAAATGAATTGCGCGCGGTTTTAGAATTTTTTAAAGTTACAACTCACGCGTGTATCGTTCAGGTCTGAAAGGGATAACCAAACGAGTTTGTTTACACATTTTATGCACTAAGCTCTAACATCTTTACGGACTCCCGATATTTCAAAGCTATTACAAGTGCCCTTAGAAAGTGGATATTCAGATATGTTTGTAAATGTTTATAATTCACCATCATAATTGAGTCGTATAAAATCAAAGGCAGCTAAACGCCACAAAATCGATTTCATTTTCACTCTGTACTCAAATAGTTCTCTTAATTTAAAGTTCTATTAATTTCAATTCAAATTATTACTAATATTCAAATTTTTTTCAATCTAGTTTAAAATATAAAAGATCGATCCATATCCGCGACAAAATATTAGTTTTATGTAGTTTCCTGGATATTTCACAGACTTGAATTTAGCTGCCTTTGATTTTATCGGTCTCAATTATCAACTTTGGGTCATTAGAATATTTATTACAGTATAGTAATTAGGAGGTTACAAAGATATAATTATGGCTAATATCTCGTACATAAAGCGTGTAAAGCTGATTGCCTTATAATCCATTAATGTCAAGTTTATCTTATTTCTCCCATCAATGGCTAAAACATTTTATTCTTTCTTTATTCTTTATTGTACACAAAAGGTTATTGAAATGTAAAAACAAACATAACAGTGCACAAGGGCGAGCTTATCTCCAATAGAGATTTCTTCCAGTAAACCCAATATGAGAAAAGTGACTGTTCATTAGTAGTTACAGTTATTTCTTGCTTTATGTAACTTTGGCGTTTAATATATCCATTGCAACATTCTTAAATCCGATCAAAGACTTTTCATCAGCTACTTGTAACCAAAAACTCTCTTCCGTACAACAGAATAAAGCTTTTTCACAGATTCGTAATCTTACCCTATAATTAAAGGCACATTTTTACATCTACTATCTCGTATAACCGAAGATATTCACTAACCTGTTTGCAATACCGTTCCTGCGCGTAAAGTCCGCTAGGTAACATTCTCTGCACGCCGAGGCCCAACAACGCTGCCTCTAGAGCCAGTGCTAAGTAGGTTTCCTCTGGGTTTTTGCTGCCAGCCACTGGAACGTGTTGATACCTGAAAATATATAATATTATTTAATTACTTCGAAATAACCAAATCAAATATGATGCAGATAAACTGGGTAGTACAAATGTTTGACTTCTAATCTAAATGCCTGATGCATTAATATACCTAAACTTAGTAGAGTCACAAGTAACTTCTCAAGGATTCCCATGATTACAACTAACGATGCTTAGAGGAAAACCATGGGATTTTAGCCGATAAGATTTCTGCAGTATTCCTATTCATCTCCTTCAAGATAAATGAGACACCAAAATAGATTTCATCACGTAAAAAGGTCCGCTGATATTAAAATATGTGACTAAGGGGTGGCTTAATCACATCACAATTGTTATTTATGTCGTATAAGATGTTTGTCTATGATTTTGGACTTAGTGGCGTGCAAAAAGGTTACGCCACCAAATCTTGCATAATTTTTGGCAAAATTTTTAATTATAACAAAAAAAAAAACTTAAATACTTTCATTGACTACAGATTGTTCGGCTCTGTTAAAAACATACATTTATTAGTACGTATTCGTAGATATTATTTCATATTGCATACTTTTGGCTTGATACTTTGCTTTACTTCTTAATCCACATGTCACTAATAAGTCTAAAATTATGGGCTGGGTGATACTAAACGTAGCCAGTCCGTGTCGAGGTAGGGATGAGACAGGGGTTGGTTACCTGGGCGGCAGACCGGTGTTGGGCTCTTCGTCGAGGTAGGCGGTATGCAGGCGTGGAGAGGCGCGCTGGTCATCGGGCGCCAGGCACGCGTCCGCCAGGCACTCGTACACGCACCAGATCGCCTCCAGCGTCCACCCCGTCCAGCATCGGCTGTCTGCTCCGCGGAATAACAAGGACAGTGTTAAACGGAGGTCACTTGTATACATAGGCGACAGGCTACAGACTAAAGTGCAGTGTAGGAAGTAGACAACTTGCTACACTGTGGTTGTTTTATAGACAACTAGGTCTAATGTAAGCAGCAGAAGGTCGTCTACATTCCTTTGCGGGGACGCAAGGACGGGCTTAGTCCTTAGCGTCAATAGTTTAGGTCCGGCGGGCTGAGCCAGTACCTACTGTTGGAAATAGTACTGGCTAGTGAGAAAAGTGTGGGAATTAAATAAAAATAAGAAATAAAAGCGTCGCGAGTCGTGCTGGGCTGGCTGACCGTCGCCCTGCGTGGGGCTTGTTGTGCTTACGTCACAGCCGGGAGACGCGCATGAAGTGGTGCCAAGACCCTCAAGTGGGGGTAGTAGCCGTTGTCCGCCCGGCTGGAAAATCCTCTACGTTAGAGAGCAATGTAAGATATGTTGTCGCACCTCTGCCGATGCAGCGCTGCGAGTGCGAGAGCGCGCAGGTGGCGGCGGCGGGCGTGCACGTGCCGGCGTCCATGTGCGCGAGCACGAGCGCGAGGCGCGCACGCTCGCCGCACGCGCCGCAGCCGCCGCCGCACGCGCCGCCGCACGCGCCGCCGCACGCGCCGCTGCCCGACGCCTCGCCGCCGCCCGCCTCGTGCCACCGCTGCTGCGCCACCTCCTGCATCAGCACCGAGGGCATTACGAACCATCGCAGATAAGAGAGGAGACAAAGTCTAAGAAGGTAGAGCTCTAGGACAGGAGCTGAGATTCAGAAGGAACGTCGAAGTCCAAGAGAGACATCAAGGGTCACGTGTCAGTAAATGGTAACAAAAATTCGACTTTGGTCTTTTGGAGTGAACAACAAATCACAAGAAATCTTATCATCGTTAGAGGGCGCCGTTTTTAGGACTCGATGCTCCATCTGTATAATCTAATAATAGTAATCAATCTTGGAGTGTCGGCAGTCGCTAGCATATTAATGGTAGCGGGTTTTTTTTTATGGTTTGCGGTACAGTATTTAAGACATCCCGTCCTCGCTATTGGATACGGGTGATGGAATGCCTATACAAGACAAAAGGGTAAATGGTGGACGCAGTTTAGACGTAATATTTGAGGAGCATTAGGAAGGTACTACGGCCGGATACTGCAACAAAAGAGTATGTGTTCGGTCCCCGAACTGGCGACCTCTACTGTCTACCGGTCTCCAATTCGAGGGACGCCCCATCATTGGCCGTAATAAATGGTAGCGGGATTAAACAAGTGAATTATAATGTAGTAAGCAGTAAAGCAGCATGGTCCTACCTGTCGGTGGCGCATGGCGCGTGCGGCGGCGACGGCGAGGCGCAGCGCGGCGGGCGCGCGGCCCGTGGCCCGCAGCGCCTCGATGCGAGCGCCCACTACCGGCAGGTGCTCTGCGAACACCAGCGCCAGCATTACATTACAAAAATATGCAATGAATGGAGTGAGGATTATTAGTAATACCAGTTTACCAGGGGGAGACTTTGTACAAAAGTCGTTTGCTTGTTCACCTCTGTCCCATTCGTGTTTCTACCGTGATGCAGTTGTTTGCATGGTTGTATTTCGGTTTGAAGGATGGGATATGGCAGTGAATTTACGGCGTACAGAGGAATAACACCCGATTCTTTAGGCAATGGCAACGCATGGGGGGTATCATGGGCGAAACAATATACTCTGTTATGTCCATGGTACTGCTCGTGTCTATAGGCGACGGTTACCACTTATCATCAGGTAGGCCGCAAAAATTGCCAAATTTTGTGGCATTGGGGCATATGGGCATTTTTTAAAGTTTTGAAATATTTTTTATGTATATCACTAATTATTTATATTTAAACCATGAAATAAATGAATAAATCTAACGTGGCAAGGCATATTCAGTTTAAAATTGGTATGTTCTAGTACCGGAGAGTTCTTCCTACATTTTTTCTACAGGTTCCGATTTTGTGATGTAAATACAAACCATGCCATAGAGGTTGTCCGAGGTCATTGAACTTGGGGTAGGGCTGTGGAGCGGCGGCGGAGGCGCCTGCCTTCTCCGAGGGCTTCTCAGGGTCGCAGTATTCATCGCTGCCCAGAATGTTTTTTAGGTGGTCATTCTCCCAGGATATGTCAACCGCATCCAATGCTCTGTGGGCAATGATTTTAGAAATGAGACGATAGAAAGCATATCGCTAAAAGCGATCTCTTCCAAGCAACGTTTGTATGGAGAGGAGTAGTTATAAACAGTTTGACACTTCTACCACGAACTTCTACTTCTACCTGATGAAAAATGGCAACCGTCGCCTATAGACGTGAATAGTACATGGAATCACAATATTTTATGTTGCCAGTAGTTGCCACGCTTAGTAGGCGTATTGGCAACCGCCTGACGACTTTAAAGATGTTTTAAAAGGGCCTCTGCTGTCCATTCCTCGCCGTCCCTTAGTCGTCTTTCACAATAATTACGGGAACAGAAGGGGTGGTGTATCCTATACCGGGATAACACGAACATACAGATTAATAATGCAAAATTCTTCGTTTTTTTTTAATAAATTATTGATCCTGTTACTGTGAAACGCAACAGTAAAATAAACAACCAATCAGAAACATTTGAAATAATACTTACTTATGGAAAACAGTGCGCGGCGCGCTTTGCGGCGCGGCCCGTTGGTTGTGTAACCGGAGTCTCTTGCTAGCTCTCCTGTATTCACGTTCGTAACTGAAATAAAAACGGTATGTGACGGTTTTTTTTTATACCACTGAGGTGGCAAACAAGCATACGGCCCACCTGATGGTAAGTGGTTACCGTAGCCTATGAACACCTGCAATACCAGAGGTATAAACGTGCGTTGCCGACCCTGAAGAAACCTCTTTACCCCCCTTTTGAAGAACCCCATGCTGTAGTCTCTTGGGAAAATCTCGGCATTTTATCGATCGTCAAAATATCGTCTATTTATTTATTTATATATATACAATGGAATGGTAACTCCCGCTTGGGTTAACAGTTATTACGCTGGCGGGGCACTAGTGAGGGATGACAGGTGAGGCTAAAAGGCAGATCAGTCAGTCCATCGTGATAAATACACCGGGAATTTAGCACGATGGTTTCTAAGGGGACCACTTGGAGGTCGAACTGACAGGATATATTGCTAGCATTGGGACTGGAGTCCGCATTACTAACAATTCCTTCCTCCCTGTACATATTAGTTGGGTGAAACGATAGAATGAATATGTAATTAAAACTTACTTATTAGGTCTAGAATCTTCATCGGAACTTTCCGAATGGGAATGCATCTCTCTTCTTTGTCTCTCTCTATGTCTTTCTCTGTAACAATATGTAATTTACTATATTATTATCATACCAGCTATTATATCTGTCCACTGCTAAACATAGGTCTTCCTCTACTTGTTGCCAGTAGTTGCCACATTTGGCAAGCGGATTTGCAACCGCAGTTAGGGATTAATGATGTTTTAAGAGGGACGCTTCTGCCTATCCCTCGTCCATTCAGTTCCCTTAGTCGCCTCTTACGACAGCCACGGGAAAGAAAGGCGTGGCCTATTCTATGCCGGGACCACACGGCATAATATTTGTATTCTCGAATATAAACTACTTAATACAAAAAAAAGAGCGATTCATTCAATCGCTACAAAATATGGGACAACGCCTATAGCCATGAAAAACATTACTCGTATGGACATCACAGTATAAACTGTGACAGATGGGCGTTACAGTGTACCCTTTACACACTGCTATTTATATGTACCATGTAATTTTAGACATAGTACATTTAAATAAATAGACATTACATTAACAAAGATTTAAAAGAGTAAATGTTGAGTTTTTTGCGGGCTCTTCTCAACAGATAACATATGTATATATATATATATATATATTTAAAAGTAAGTATAGACAGTGATCTTGAGATGGATTCTTGGGATCCTTGCAATGCGACCTCATGGTCATCTTAAAACACTAGCATGACCTCAGAATAGAAAAAAAATTGTTCTATAGGTTGTATGTGTGGACTGTGGTCCGAGATATGGAAGCCAGTGGTCTTACCACGAAAAATATTGAAGCCCAAGCAAAGTGAAAGAAATTAAGACAGAACAGACAATTTTAAAAGCTGAGATTAATAACGCCTGATAGATAATGCTTACCTGTCTCTCTCCTCTCTCTCCCGCAGTCTCTCCCGGTCTCTCTCCTCTCTGTCTCGGTGACGTTCTCTGTCCCGGTCCCTGTGGTCCCTGTCGCGATCTCTCTCATTTCTTTCTCTTTCTCTTGCATACTGGAAAAGCAGGAGAAATCGTAAAGATTACAAATTATATGTCAATAAAATATGTCTATACCAAGTTGAAACTCAGTGACAGTACTTTTGACCCCGAAATAAACTTATGCAGGAACATAAGTATTTATCTATTAAATAAAAAAATAATGTAGACAATATAACATTTTTATTTATTGTTAGTCGCAAATACATTATTTGACAATACTCAGAAAAATATGGCATTTTTTTTAACGTTTATCAGGTATTACAGAAAGAAATAAATATAGAAAAAACAAAGTCGGTCGGGTTACCACTCGAGACTGGCCGTACTGCCTTTTTAGTTTATGTGTTCATAATTGTAAATAATATTTTTAAATAATAGCAAATAAGGTCTCTAGTTGGAAAAATTCAAAAAAAAAATGGGGAAAGTCTATGTTTAGCAATGGATAGTTAATAGCTAATATAATAATAAAAATAATAATAAAGTTTTTTTGAATTTATCAAAGAAACATTGTCCAATTAAAATTACAAACTAAAATATGTGTTACTATTGAACATCAGTGGACTGTCTTACTCGTAATATAGCAAAAGAAAACCTCTTACCAATGGGAAAGACCTATAATCCGGATCCTCAGTGGGGCACACTTCCACTGCAGACCACTTTTCTAATAGATTCCTCCACTGCATCCTATTATTCTTATTGCTTCCAGGGTCCAAGACTATGCTGACCCATAAAGCGCCGAGCTGTTCCCACAGTTGCCTGCATTTTTCCGTCATTGGAGTGTTTTGGTTTCTCCACAACAGGAGCCGAGGGTCTGATAGGAACTGCTCCGTCATCAACATAAGCATCCTGGGACCATTCGAGTCTTGCGCTCTGAGCATTTCTCTAACCTGAAAATATAAAAGTTAATTCATAATGAGTAATTCATTTTTATGGCATTTGCAATGGCAATCTGATCGCTGATCTAATGGAAAATGGAAACTAGCTTAGCCATAAACATGGGTTTTATAGAATAAAAGTTGCTCATTCCTGAGAACTATGCTGTTGTCTCTGTGAAATTTATTATCATATTACGTCCTTCAAACCGGATCACTGCCATAAGTACAGGTGCTCAGCTGCGAAAATACGAGTGAGCTAGATGTATCAAGAAGACAACTTTTGTACAGTCTCCCAACGGCAAAAATAAATATTCACCTGAATGCCAGAAGGAGACTTTGTACAAAAGTCGTTTGCTTGGATACCTCTGTCCCATTTGTGTTTCAACCGCAAAGCAGTTGTGTTTGCATGACTGTGTTTCAGTTTGAAGGGTGGGATATGGCGTTAATTTACAGGGTACAGAGGAATAACACCTGAGTCCTCAGGAATGGCAACGCATGGGGGATATCATGGGTGGAATAGTATACTCTGTTATGGCCATGGTACTGCTCATGTCTATAGGCGACGGTTACCACTTTCTATCTGGTGGGCCTTCAGAAAAGTAAAAATCTTCACACGCTCGCATTAATACCGATCCCTGGGGACTATTGACTTCTCCTTCATATAGGACACAGTCTATCTGATTAAGTATCAACAGATAAATATTATTTACCTTTGAAAATAGTGAATTAAGTTGCTTATTGGCATTATAATATGTTCCCTGTAGTAAGTAGGCACGGACTTGTTCGCAGACCTGTAAACAAAATGTGAATAGATTACTCTCACGGTCGCCACTCTCAACTTACTCGTTTAAAATGTAATGACTTAATAATTGTCAATCTAATTATACACTGGTACATAATGAAGATAGATATATTTGGCTTTCCCCATCAGCCGTTAACTGTCCATTGCTCAACACAGACCCCTGGGGGGAAAGGGATTCTTAGCAATGGAGTTTGAGAGCCCCATTGTTAGCAGTATACCCTATCGTGTCGACCTCCACGTGGTTCCCCATGGAAACCATCATGAACAATTCTTGTTGAATTCGTCACGATGGGCTAACTGACCTGTTTCATCCTCACCTATCATCCTTCATTGGTGCTCCGCCGGTGTATACCGATAGCGCGGGTAGGGTTATCATTCCATTATTAGCCATAAAAAAAAACCTATATATTTTGTCGATAGTTGCCATGCTCGGCAGTTAAGTTGGCAACAGTTAGGCTTTTGTGACATATTAAGAGATATGCTGCTGCCCGTCCTTCGGTCATTAAGTTCCTTTAATCGCCTCTTGCGACACCCACGAAAAAGGAAGGTATGGCCCATTCTATGCTGGGACCACACGGCATCCACGGGAATATGTATGTACTTTTATGGCAGAATGTGAGTGAAGATCATACGTTTCTTATTTTTTTTTTAATAGGTGGAAATGGAATGGTAACCCCCGCCTGCGCTATCGGTATGCGCTGGCGGGGCACCAGTGATAGATGATACATGAAAATGAAGGCAGGTCAGTTAGCCAATCGTAAAGAATTCATAAAGGATTAACCCTAACGGTTTCCAGGAGGAACCGCGTGGAGGTCGACCTAATAGGGTGTATTGTTAGCAATGGGCTGTTAGAACACATTACTAACAATCCCTTTCCCCTAACGTTTCTTATTATTGACTAGTTAATACCCATATCTTCGTTCTCCCGACCGGGGTATGTAGTTTGATTCTATTTATGTATGTTTATTGACTAGGTTAAAAAATAGCGTAAATCCTATATCATCCCATAGAAATATAGGTAACCAAGGGGTCTAGCTGGAAATGAAATTGCGAAATTTCGAAATCAATTTCGAATTTTCGTTCAATTCGAAATCGGCCCAGTAAATTAAGGTTAAAATTTTGTTGGTCATAAATCCTACCATAAAAGTCCAAAGGAACGAAATTTAAAAATTTTCAAACGGTATGTATTATGTAATTTTTATATCGTATTTGTGTTTCGTTCGGTCCCGAAATTTCGGTAAACTTTTCATGGTAGACCCTCAGATTTTATGATGGCTAGTTGAGCCACAGAATATTGGTAGTTCAGTTTCAAATTTACTTTCACGTTTAAAGTAAGTTTACGTATAGACAATTTTTTCTTCTTGGAAACTATCATGGTTCAATCCTTATGTATTTGTCACGATAGGTCAACGGTGATTTAACTGTTATCCCTGGTTATTTGCAACTCAAAAAAGGCAAATTTAGTACAATACACCAATGATTTTGGAATCTTTATCATACCTGCTGTTCATCTAAATGCCAGGCGTGGTGCGCGTCTGGAGGCGGCCCAGCGGTGGGATCGGGCGCCCCGCAGATCCTGTTTATCGCTGACCTGGCCTGCAAAACTTCGTCAGCTAACCGCTGCGCGGTCGGCAGCACCTCTGTATGGTGTTCCGCTATGAGGTACTGCACGAACTTCTGCAGTTGCTGTCTGTCCATTTGCAGTAATGTTTCTGAAAATTAATATTAGTAAAAAATAAAATAAACGGTCAAATGCGAGTTTATTTTTTAATTGATGATAAGGGAATGATCAGCATGCCGGCGCTATAGGTATAGACCGTAACTGATGATAGATGATGATGAAAAGGCAGGCCAGTTAGCCCATCGTGCTGAATAGACCTGAAATTCAGCACGATGGTTTCCAGAAGGGACCACGTGGTCGACTTGGTCGGGTACATTGCTAGCAATGGCGTCCTTAATCTCTATTACTAATTATCCCTTCCTCCCCGATTAAGTGCAAATCGGTGTCATATACTGCGCGGCCCGTATAGATATAATTTGTCAATAGGTTTTGGTTTCCTTTAAATCAAAATTGGGAATAACGTTCAGAAACTCAGAAGTATGTATTTTTAAATTTGAATTTAATTTATGGGTATATTAAAGTTTTTTCAAAGTTGGCAACGTGCAGATGACACCCTTAATGTTGTCTACATCCATAGGCTAAAGTGGTCGTTTACCAACAGACGAGCTGTATGCTTGTTTGCCACCAAAATATAAAGTATAAAGAAAATGAAAAAAAAAAAAAAACCAATATCCAAATAAATGTGCATTTGATTGAAAACAGTAATCGTTATTTACAGACATAAATACCTATGACGATTCCCATGAGTTGCTATTTGTATAGTATTTATATAGCTTACTATGGTATGCAGGTTTTAGTGGATGTAAAGTCCAAAGGCACTTAGTAACATTAATTAATTTATTTAAACTATATATAAAGTGACGACGTGTTTATACGTGTTGAGTGGCGGGTGCGAGACAGCTCGAACGAACGAGTCAGAGTGAATGATTACTAAACGCTATTCTTGAAAATTGAAGCATTAAATTACCTGATATAGGCACACGGAGTCTGACGGAGTCTGCATTTCTGATGCGATAAAGCGCAAGCGCAACAACGTGCTGACACCAAAATATGTCTCGTGCTTCGCAGCTGCATGTCACGCCTGTTATTTTGCATCTGTGGATATCACATGAGACGTACAGATTAATTATAATTACGTTTTGTAACTTCGTTTAGAAAAACGACTGCTTCGAACGTCACATAAATAGAATATAATCCGAATGACAAAGACAATGGGCCTTAACATATGTAGCTGTAATAATTTTTATACAAATTAGGCTATAATAATTTAAAAAATAAAATAAAAAAATGCTGATATCTCATTATTTTCGCCATAATACCACACACATAGGCAAACAATGGTCCAAACGGTGGTTCTCGTTTAGTATTATCAATAAAGTCATCCACGAAATTAGTTTCAGAAGTTTTCTATTAGTAAAAACGTTAAAATCTCACTGTGGACATAAAGCAAATGAGACAATCGCCTCTATTATGTTGCTGACAAAGTTTCCTACAGAACAAAGGTATTATTCTGGTGCGTTGCCCTTCGCGACAATAAAAAGGGTCCTTTTACTGATTTCAGCCTGACAATAGGTAATGTCTTTGTGACCTTTTTTTAATTCAATGCTTCTTTTTTTTTAGGAAAAGAAAGTGTGATTTGTGGTACGCGCCGACTACTGATTTCTTGCGTTGTCAATGTTTAATAAAAAATATTGTTTCTGTTTTTATACGACTTAGAATGGCAAACAAGCTGACGGCCTATCTGATGGAAAGTGGTAACCGTCGCCTATATACATGAGCAGTGCCATGGATATAACAGAGTATACTGTTTCGCCCATGATACCCCCCATGCATTGCCATTCCTGAGGACTCACGTGTTATTCCTCTGTACGCAGTAAATTCACGCTATGTGGGATATAGCCTTCAAACCGAAACACATCCATGCAAACACAACTGCTTCATGGTTGAAACACAAATGGGACAGAGGTACCCAAGAAATCGAATTTTGTACAAAGTCTCCCTCTGGTATGTATGTATGTTGTTTCTATGTTGCTATACTTGTCCAATGTTACTGTGCTTTGTTGTTTTAGCATAAATGAATTTTATCTAACTGAATGGTTTGTTAACATGAAATGTATTATTCTCCTTGCATAAATACGGGCAATTCTACCAACATTTTGTATGTGTTTTTTTACATATTGTTCCAAATCATCTTATAATAAGTCCTAAACGCTCCTGTCAAGTTCAGTCCAGGATTCTCGACCTACCTTTGTGTAGAACACATTTTATGGGCAACTCTTTCTCGTATCGAGCCGCCCAATTATGGAACAAACTCCCTTTCCACATACAAGAGAGCTCTTCAATTACCTCTTTCAAGAAAAGGTTGAAATTACATTTTCTTTCGTCTGAGTCATAATCTTAATTTTTAATTTTTATAATTGAACTGTCAAATCTTAAAATCATTGAACTAAATTTCTATTGTAGATAGTACCTATATTCATTTATTTTAACATCTATTGTATAAGTAGGTAGGTATTATATTTATTTATAGTATATGTATTTATGTAATATTTTATTATGTATCTTAATATTTTATTTAACTGTATATTTGTTTATGTTCTAAATAGTTGTAACACTTCAGCTACCTGCTAACAACATGCTTCCTAACTGCATTGGGTTGACTGGAAGAGATCTCTGTCAGAGATAAGTCCACCCTTGCTCACAATATTTATAAATACATTAACAATGTAATTTACAAATGTAATAAAGAATATAATAAGTATGGGTAATATCGGTCCCGCACCTATATCTATATATTGGGTTCTTTTGGACAATGATTGTGGAGAAAAATGTTATCACACATTTTAATATCGCGCAGCGCATACCACACGGATATATTTATTTCGATTGAGTTCTTCACTTGGATGTTATATATTGGATAACCGATATTTTATATAACCGTTGCTGAGCCAATATATAAATATTATAATTATATATAGATATTGCCATATATTACCCAACTCTAATAAGCAGTCGCTACCGCATCCAAGAAAGTGTAAAATTTCAAGTTCAAGCCTTATCCTACCAGGGTTAAGGTCTGATAATTTTTTTTATACAACTTAGAATGGCAAACAAGCTGACGGCCCACCTGATGGAAAGTGGTAACCGTCGCCTAGACATGAGCTGTACCATGGACATAACAGAGTATACTGTTTTGCCAATGATATCCTCCATGCGTTGCCATTCCTGAGGACTGACAGACTTCGTTTTTCAACCGTGAAGCAGTTGTGTTTGCATGGCTGTGCTTCGGTTTGAAGGGTGGGATATGGCGTGAATTTACTGCGTACAGAGGAATAACACCTGAGTCCTCAGGAATGGCAACGCATGATAAAAATGTAAAGACAATATGTTTTAAAATCCATTTGCTGCAAATCGTAAACATCTACAAACGTTTGGTAAATGCTAAACCATTTACAAACGTGTGGATTGGATGCATCCCAAGCGTTTGATAAACTTCCAGATTTGTTCTCAAAGACCGTTTGGCAAAAGCGCAAGTCACCATTATGTTTATGTAAGACAGATGCACCCTGCAGTTGAATTCGCATGAAAATAATAACCGAATAGCCAATTACAATATAATAATGGATTTAAAATGCTGATAATTCTGCACCGATATTGTTGTTCTTCAGAAACTTTTCCAGAATCTCGTAGTGAAAACTTATCATCATGATAGTCGTTAACTGTCCACTGCTGGACATCCACCATAAAGGGGGGTTTGTCAGTAGTTGCCCTATTTGGCAGGTGGGTTGGCAAAAGCAATTAGCGTTTGTTGATTTATTAGGTGATCATGCGAAAAAGTTATATCTCTGATGCACCACATCGAGGTAGTGCCAACAGTATATTAAATGTCATTGAGTATCAATGTCAAGTAAAGTAAGAAAGGAATCTTACTTTACTTGACATTGATACTCAATGTATTTATTAACAACCACATGGGTTTTGTCTGATACAAATTATTATTATTCTGAAAGACTATTGTTTCTATTATTGGAAGAATTTTTAGAAGCCTTCAATGATTCTACAAAAGCCCAACAAAATTATACTAATTTTGCTTCTCTTATCTGATGATTAGAATTTATTATTTACCTGTCAAATGAAACTGTTACTCTGTATAGTCTTTCTGGCTCTGAGCACGGCGGGACTGTGGCCGGGGCGCGAACAACACCGCTTAAGTGGAAACCTGGAATGAAGACATTTCACATGGTTAGTATACTTCATACTTCATTTGTCATACGCTTTACATTGGAGATAGGTGTGATTTTTCTAGAACTTTTAATGATAAACAATCTAATGTCCACTTGATGGAAACTGGAAACTATCACTTGTGAATGGGAACAGTACCAGAAACATCACAAAATACACTGTGACGGGCATAGTATCGTAGTTCTCAAATTACTTGGTCATTATCATTGTATCAGTCATTATCTATACAAAAAATTGCTGAAAATATACCTCCCCCTCAGGTCAGGGTTTCTCAAACCTATTTTGTCTACTGCCCACTTTGAGAATAAATTATTTTTAGCGCCCCCATTTTTTCCACCTACTTAAAAACTACTATTACTTCAAGATCAACAAATCACCCCCCAAGCCTCTAAACAACGCCTCCATTTTTTTTTCTGGGTCTCTTACCGCCCTTTAAGCCTGCAACGCCCACAAGGAGGCGTTATCGCCCACTTTGGGAAAGGATGCCCTAAACTGTCATAAGGAACGGTCCTGAGCCACCTGCATACACTGACTCTCCGCAATACATTTAGATCGTCATTCCATCTAGTATCTAGTGTCGTTTTATGCTGCGTTTGCTAGTACGTGATGGCCACTCACAGGGTACTCAAATTGTCTGGCAGTCTAGGTTATAATTAAATCAGAGATAGATTGCACATATCACATCGATAGGTCACAGTGACTGTTTGCAATCAGACGAGTGGATTGGTGCTTTTGTAAATAATACTGTAGTAGATAACAGAAGACTATATGTAGAAAAGGCAGGGGAAACTAAAAAAAATTCGGAGGGTCTAAATGCAACGGAAAATAAATATCTTCCAGAAAAGATAAATAATATAAGAACATTAATATTTATAGTCCACTTGCCACTGTATTTGTTCAGGATAGTGTGGTTACATGTCGTGCTATAGTATAAAAAAATTTGATACAAACTATCTGATTCAGTTTCATTTACGTCAAGAACCGTATTGTACACCTATTGTCTTAATTTTAGCCAACATTCTTTCCGCACGCTCGAACCAATTACATAGCCAAAACCTTGATCATAATGTTTACTTGATAATTCGTGCAAACGTAACGGTACAGTAAGCAAAGATTGACCCTATAGTAAATATTTCGTCAACCTGTGTTGAGTGTTCGATAGTTCTTGATCAATGATGCAATGATTTCACGCAGCCCATAGAAATGATTTCACTTTTCGGCGTATTAGCTGACTGTTCAAGGTAACAATTTTTTATCGTATGACCACAATGGTTAAAGTTAGCTTAAATGTTTTGTAACCGAGTAAATGCCCTTTTATTGATTTTTTTAAGTAATTTCAGTAAATAAAACAAAATAGAATACGAATGTTATGACATTCTATCAACAAACAACGAGTTATGGAAGAAAGATAAGTGTAGGAACTCCATTCGAAGTAGTAACCTCAAAGCAGCAAGTTAATGCTATGGATATAGACTGAAAAACGTAATATCTCTCCTTGATCTATGTAGGTAACGGAAAACAATTCCTTGTTGTAGTCTACGAGAAATACTTTTGAAATAAGAAACAAAAACTTAAGATAATTCAGATGATGTAATTTATTATTTAGTTGTGCATAGAGGAAAGATAAAGGGAATAGGAAAGATAAAAAGAAAGGAACATGTTCCTAATACCCTTTGTTGTGCATTCCAGTTGGTCCATAGACAACTAAACTGTCGTACACAATTAATGATTGAGATGATGATGACACTATTGTTTATGATCATTGTATTGATATAATTATTGACGAGTTTAAACAAACAGTCTCTACAAATAATGATTGTGTTTCGTTTTATAGTAATGAAATTACAGAGTACGAAGGCAGGATATTATCCTGAGGAATGGTAATCTATGAATGGTGCCGAATATTATGAACGGCAAACGTACCTTTACCTGGTACCCTTTTTTTACAGGTGTTCGTGAAGCTGTTCCTGTCTAACTATAGGCGACACAGTAACCAATTTCCATCAGTGAAATCACAGGTTACAGAGGCATAACCCTATAGTCATTAGGAATGGCAACACATGGGGTGGTATTATGGGCGAATCTAAACTCTGTTATAATAATAATAATAATAAATCTCTTTATTTTCAGGTATATACCCATAGTTAACATTTTTATATTATTAATTAAATAAATTGTTATTATTATTTTTAAAATATACATCAATTATAAAATACCAATTTAAATTATTTCGTTATAAAATCTCTTGTCGTCAGGTATGCTGTGAGAAATACAGTCTTTACAATATTATTACTTGTTGTCATTAATCTGTCATGAAATTTTGCCTTATAATTACGTAAAATAGCATAAAAATCATTAACCCTGTTCTCTGCAAACATGCCAGACGCACTACACCGCCATGGCAAGTTGAGCATCGCTCGGAATGCGTTATTGTATTGCACACGCAGTGTGTTATAAGCCCTTTTCGTATAACTATACCATAACTGGCTGGTGTAGAAAGCCTGACAATAAGACTTAAACAATGTCAATTTGACTAGCTTCGAACAGTGGTTAAATCGTCTAGCCAGCATATTGCTTCTACATGCAATGTTACGCCTTTGTCTCTCCAGATCGCTATCATCTTTCAGATCTTCTGTCAACATATGTCCAAGATATTTAAATTTATTAACTATTTTTAAAGTATTCCCACATAAATTAATTTTTGGCAAAATTTCAGGTCCCTTTCCATATTTAAAAATAATAATTTCCGATTTATTGACATTATATGTTAAATGATGTATCTTTGCATATTGTTCACATATTTCAATTAGTTTTCTAAGACCATTGGCTGAAGGACTCAGCAAGACCATGTCGTCCGCATAACTGATATTATTTAGGCTTACACCACCGATATGGCAGCCAACTCTAGTCCCACTGAGTCGGCCAATCAAATCATTGATATATAAATTAAACAGAACAGGTGAGGTCAGCCCACCTTGTCTAACTCCACATGTAAGTTTGTAGCTCTCCGACAACACGTTACCCCATCTAATTTGATTTAACTGGTTTTCGTACCAAAATTCCAGTATATTTATGTCCATAGCACTGTTCATGTCTGTAGGCGACGATTACCACTTTCAGGTGGGCTATCAAAAAAGGTGGACCGTCATTTGTATAAAAAAGAGATAAAGGAAAACACTTCTATTTTTGCGAATAGACGAAACGGGCTCTATGATCCTTTCCATGAATATTTTGCTCAGTTAATACTAAACTATCTAGACTTGGTCCACGATATCAGACCAATAGCATTTCTAAATTATGGACAAAAATTAGTTTTGTTAATGGTCATTATCAAAAATTTAATTCAAAACCACACTTCTACAAAGTAACGTCCTTTTCCCGAAGGTAGTAGTGTTTATCTGAAATTTTAACCAATCAAGTAAACTGTACAGTTATGTTTTTCATAAAACTTTAATAGCGTGAAACCAATTAATATTTGTAAATAGTGAACTAGAATAACGGCAGTTTACGAAATAACACGCCAAGTGTATTTGGCTGCTCTTAAACATCCGCAAAGCGTGCTAATATTATTTTAAGGAGCAAACGCAATGGACTACAGTAGCAAGACCTAGTTAAAATTTTAAACTGTACTCATCGATGCAATGAAACTGAATATCGTTTGTTTGAGACGTTACCTTATTTTATAATACAGGAGGCAAATGAGCATATGGTTCACCTGATGGTAAATTACTATCACCGCCTATGAGCACTCGCAATACCGGAGGAATTGCAGGTGTGCTTCTAGCTTTTTTAAAAGGAATATGCTCTTGTCTTGAAGGTTACGATGGACCTACTTTCAGTAGCTTAGTAAGTCTCATAGAATTCTACAGGAATTCTTCGGTAAATTCACCACAGTGTAGTAACTGACTTCATTACCCTTTTCATCTATCGCTGGTAGCACGTCACGTGGCAACGTACCGCGTTATTGCAAGTGGACCAATATCATCCAAGACAACTAGATAAATTGGTTATTTATTGCATGAATTATTGATGAATATTAAATAGATATGATATAATATAAGAGACGGTTTTAATGCTAAAGAATTTTTAGCAGACAAACTTCAGGTAGGAGGAATTTATAATAGATTGTTATATTATGACAACGGAAAGTCCAGATACAAGGAGTATTATACAGAAATTACATTTAAATTTAGGTAATTTTAGGACATTATTTCTGAGTTCTCACAGAAGGGCGAGTGGTAGACTAGTTATTCCATAAATCTTAACCAAATACCAATATCATACACACGGCTTGATATATTTTATATGGAGAATCTCCAAAACATGATATAGTAATAAATAAGGTGGTACTGACTGCCCACGATTTGGGAACACCCATTTCCGTCACGTAATTACGGCTATGGGATGGGATAGATCGACCTTGGTGGTGTAATCAAAGTATCCAGCACTTTTCGTGTTTAACAATTACATTCGTCGTGGGGGTTAAGAAAGTTTCTACCTGATTAGGAAAAGGAGGGTTATGTTTCTTTGGGAATAAAATCCAATTTCACTAGTAGCTCTATTTTGACTCTGTAATAGTATAAGTATGTCCGGATATTTGGCACAGTGAGTAGCCTAAACAGTTTCATGGATTTATATAAATTAGGCGTCGTTAAATACACTGTGATAAAAGAGGAAAACTCGACTGCAAAATTAGTTTTTGTAAGTTTATAGTCACCATGTTTATTTTATATTGGTTTGTAGGAAATAAATAAAAGTAATGCCCCGTTGTTTTACATATTTAACAATGTCTCATCGTAGTTTGATGACTAACAACTTTTGCATTCGAAATATTTTATTCCAATGTTGAATTGTCTAAGCATAAAACATACAGGTGAATTGTGAACTTTATTCTTTTGGTTCCCTTTTTGTTACCATGTAACCATTGCAATATGTATTAAAATTCAATATATTTATTAATATATTGAATTATATATT